GGGAGATATTTGTGAAGTCGTACAAACCCTTTATGTTAACCCAGACCCCGCTGCTTGAATTGTATTTAATAAAACTTTAACTTTAACGAGCCCTCTGGGATTTCAGGGGCCCCTGTGGTGGGTGGGGCAGGGCTGGGGCCCCTGTGATGCTCAGGACGCTATTCGAGGTTTATTACAATATATACAGATATACAGATTGAAACCTTATTTTACCACTGGAAGAGATCTCCCGTACCATAGTTTGAGAACCAGTGGAAAGTCTATGCATATAACCTACATGTTTGCTTTCCTTTTTCTTTAGCTGTGACGGGCCAGTTACTTTCTTCCACCAGTCCGACAGCAGTAGAATGTTCCCAAACGTTCCCGAACGGTTCGGTCGAGTTCCGATTCTCGCCAAGAAGGATAGACTGTTTGAGGCAATGGCGTTACAATGTAAGTGAAACCTGATCTAAACCTAAATACTTTATGGATACTTTTCTTATCTAAATGCATAGATGAGGGAATTAATATACCATTGAAAACTTGTTTAACCTGCTTTTGTAGGATGAAGTCCTTGCCTATGATGATGACGAAGGAAAGAACAGCAGTGGTGAACATGTTCTGGCTCTTACTTCTGACTCTCTCGTTTTGAAAAAGTGCATTGAGAATATAACATACAAAGAAGACTGTCTGGATTCTCAAGTACGTCAGTTTTATCTATTTTGTAATAACCTGCTTGTGAACAGTGACGGCCATCAGCTTGATTGATTTAGATCTCTAGTGTTTTTGACATTTGTGTTTTTCCTTCAGCTGGCAGAAGGCATAATACCGTATTTTTGTGAGTATCTATATTTTTTTTCTTTTTCCCGTCATTGTAGCAAACATGACAAAATATTCTAAACATTATTGAATGATTAAATGGCCACAGAGTGTATGTTCAGATTTGAGCAAATATCTGACGTTCTCCAGGTTTAGTCATTTATGTGGAATTTTGACTTCAGTGTTTTAAAGTTTATACTTTATGCTATATTGGGTTTCTTTGTGTTAAGGTTCCTCATAGTCATTTGATTTAAAAATGTACACATCTTCTTAAGAGGTGTCCTTGGCAACAAGGAATTAAGAATGATAAACATCTATTAGAGCTTTGTAAATTTCTTTGTTTTTTTTAACACAGGTAACTGCTCCAACCTGGGCTCAGTCGGTACAGTAAAAATGTTTATTTTTCTTTCATTTCCCTGTATACTCATTCAGACACTTATGCAGTCTGCATTTTCAAACATTGCCATACAAAAATACTATCAGAAATTCTGTTTACATCAGTCAGACTGAATCATCACACCACTTTCACCAGTGGGAGGATGACACACCACATTAATCACAGGGATGTATCTGCAGTAGTTGTTGTGGTGCGATTGTGCCAAAAGAAACTGAGCCTTAAGGAAATGGATAAACCTGCGGCTGTATTTTAATTCGAAAATACATTAGTGTATTGGTTATGTGATGCTGTAAGTGCTATGGAAATACTAAGTATTTGGTTTAGCTGGAAGATAAATATTACGAACCGTGACATGTGTCTATGTTCTATAAATTAAACTGAGTTTAGCTCACTAATAACCACTGGCTTTTTAATGTAACTAATAATTTTACTCATTAATTTATTGCTTTATTTATAAAACACATTTAAAGACACCATGTTTCAACCAAAGCACTGTTCAGAATACCAGTAAATACAATAAAGCATATAAAGTGTGTTTTATTCTTTTTTTTTTCCCCAATTAGGCGCTTCAAATGTTAATCAGTAAAAATGTTTTCGACCTTGTTTAAAAAGCAGTGATTGATGGTGCCGTTTTGATATACATTGGTAGTCCATTCCACAGGACTGATTTAGAAACCTGATATAACTTCTAAGATGCTCCCTGCTTTTTTTTGGCTGTTTCACTCGCTAATTTATTCATTTTCTGCTACTCTTTGTAAGTGAACGTTTAACGTGACATTCTGAGCACACTCTTCGTCTCTCTCCCTCTGATGTGCTTGTTTTCACCCAGTCCATCCCCCAGATGACCACAGGAGGCACCATTACTTTGCTGTTACTTCCCTGGCTTTCGTTCTGTTAGTGTCAGGTATGTAATATTTTGGTGAAGATACTGAAAAGTAACTTGCACTGACTTAACAGCTGATGCGTGAAGTTTATCAAATCACCAGTGAATCTCACATGATATCATGGATATTAATTGCATCCATTCAATCTATAGCTGATGTTCATTTAATTTTGGATACTATTATGTTTTTCTTTGTAAGTTACAGCAGACACATCATTCTGAATGATGCCATTTTTCACTGTTCTAGGGGCCGTTTGGGGTTTTTTATGCAAGAAAAACCCAAAATTGTGCTGTCGTACTACACTGCACACTGCAGGGCAACAAGGCATTATTTAAGATAAGATCTTTGCCACCAGATCTGCAGTCTTAATTAGCCAAAGGGGTAATGTTGTCATGTCTCTGATAGTTATTGCATTTAGCCACATAAATGGTCCCCGTTTACTCATAGTTCTTTGTAGCAGATGCTTTTATATGAATTATTTTAGGCAAATCCTCAAAGTAGAACTGAAGTGGTTCCTTCCCCTGTGATATCAGCCTGCAAGTTTAGTTAAACCCCTACATGATCCTCATAAGCACACAAGTGATTTGTTGCTCTTAATTTTTTCATGAATGATATTTTGGATTTGAATGCAAGAAGCCTTAAAAAATTTAACAGAAGAGGAGTGATAATTAGACATGAATAAAATTCATGACCTGTTGTATTGGTGGGGATGTATAGCAAGGTATTTATTCTCCATTGTGAGCAGAATGATTCTATCAGTGAAACTGACAGTGGATATTTGGGAACATTTATACTGTGAAATGTGCTTTTATATTTCACTTAAATGACACAGTCAACACTGTGAAGCCCCCAAAGGAGGATTAATCACACAGACTGTTGGTTCCATGTGTTTAGCCTGTCAGTGGGTAGCTGAGATTTAGTCGGCCGTTAGCTGTGGAAGCTAAAGAGGGACGTTAGCTGTACCAGTGTGTGCAGGACGAGTAGTACGCTGGCATTTACACAGCTGCAGGACATCTGTGTCCGTAAAGGTCATATATAACATTATTAATTAACTATAGAAATGTTAAGTTTTATATATTACTATATAATTAGATTTTAAATGTTACACATTATCAATAGCATAAGGGGAAATTTGCCATTGTCTCATTTCTCAGTCTGATAATCTATATGCGTATATAATAAATATATACACAGACACACCTAGATACATATTATGGTATTTGGCAATAATTATACTCGTTAAATTATTACATATAAAATATTTCCAATAATATTAGAATGTTTATAACACAGAATTGATGAATAAATTATCTTCTAATGGCCAATAAACAAGCCTGAAATGCCAAATTAGTACCTTTTAAATGTGTTATGTGTTGGGATATATTGTTCTTAAAAATAGGTACCGGCAGGTAAAAATAGAAAATTGACCGAAGTTTGAATGTTTTATTTTGACACCATATAAAAACACTTTTTAAACTTGTCATTATCTTTAATGGTTTTTGAAACACGGCTGTTGGGTACCCCCTGACCCGAAGAGTGAGGACCTCACTTTCTTTTTCCTGACGGGTTACATACCTTCATAATGCATTATAATGGTCAATATAAACATTAAGTATGCTTTGTACTGCATTATAAAGGTATTTATAGTGCATTATAGATGAGAACTTCATAGAGAATTCATAATGCATAATGAACATGCCTATAATGTTATGCCTTTATATAAAGATCGCTGTGTTTATAATACTTTGTCCATGCATTATAACGCATTGTGAATGTATCTATTATACATTATAATGACTGTTTTAAGTAAAGTGTTACCAAAATAACAAGGCATAGATTAGGTAAAGAGTGTGAAAAATCCTTTATTATTGTAAAAACAAATATTAAAATATGACATTTCTAGAAAGAGAAATGACAAGTTGAATCTGAAGCATTTCAGGCTGGTTTGTACACTTTCCCCCAGTCAGTGCACCTACCTGCCGGTACCCACTAAAAACTTGCTTGCAGGCTGATAATGTGCCTATACTGTAGCTTTCCTGTATAATCCATGCTTACTTTGTACGGAGTGTCTCTGTGATATTATAATACTGGGCTTCAGCTGTAGATCTTTCTTAAGCTGTGGAAGCATATAAGGGCTCCAAGCTGTGCCAGTGTGTATACAATGAGCAGTGTGCTGTCATGCCAAGCGGCACACGCCTCCGGAGATACTGCTGTAATTATTCCCCATACTATGTATCTTTTGGTATATTTCTGAGTATTTTGCAAGTTACTCTGTAACATTTTACTGCAATTAAAGCCTATGAAACTACATGTATATTGTTTTGGATTTATTGTGAGATTGGTTTCGCTTTTAATCTGATTTACTCTTCATGCCTCTGGTTTTCTAATGTGGGTAAAAGCTACCATAAAGACTCTCAAAGGATGCATGTCTATTGCATATGTGGTGATTTAACGAATGGAAGCATTTAAAAAAGTAATTTAGAAAATGATATTTCCATGGAGAAAACACAGAACCAGCATTTTGAAAGCTGCACACTTTGTAGATAGTTGTCAAATTGATCTGATGTTTAGTTCAGTTGTTATATTGACTGCTGTCATTAAAATAAACATGAACACCATGAATCCTGTTGGTGTACATCTGCCCCCCCCCCATATATTGCACTACAATGCCTTTTATTTAGCCTACTGTGTACTGTCTATTTGTGCTGCTCTACACCACTGAGCCTTTCTTGTACACGTGTTATTATTTTACCCCACCCCCCCTCCTCAGTATTTATTGTTCAGCGTTTATTGGTCGACTGTTCATTGTTTTAGCTGTCTGATGTTCCAAAGGATTTTAATGTGACTAATCGACGCAGAACACCCGCATAACTTCCCCTGCAGCAATTCAGGCCAGCAAAAAACCAGAAGTGACGGTTACCATAACAACAGTTACCATAACAACATAACAACAGGTTGCTGCTCTTTAGAAGAGAGAAATGACTGAAAACACCGGTTTGGAAAAGCTAGATGTCGGTGCATTAAGCCCGGAACAGCAAGAAAAACTCCGACAATTCAAGGTAGCAAGCAAGTATCAGCTGGCATATAGCATGCATTTTAGTTAAATTAACTGATATTTGGGTAGGCTACTTGTCCGTCTAATTTACGCAAACAAAATTATTTCAGATAAAAACTAGAATCTCCAATGAAAAATACTTGAGAGCTCACCCAGAAGTGGAAGTTTTACTGAGCGAATTTTTAAGGTTTGTAGTCCGGTACCAAAGAATTGTCAATTAGCTATTAGGTTTGTTAATATCACACACGCGCTATATTTTCCTGAATACATTGCGCCGCTAAATTGCCCTTACTGCATGGGTTCGCTGTATTTTTATGTCTGTGCAATGGACTGGCAGCCGTCCAGCGTGTCACCTGCTTTGTGCTCTGTGCTGCCTGATACGGGCTTCCAGGCCCTTAACGCTGGCTAGGATAAGTGCTTTAGAAGAGCATATTGAGTACTGAGTACAGCATATTAATTATATTAGGTGTGTGCACCGTTTACAACGGAGGCAGCAAGCTCTTTAGAAAACGGAAATCCTACTGTACTCTCACCACAAAAAAGCCGCCTTGGAAGCCAGCAGCTCAAATGTCGCACTTAAGGCTAAACGCTGACACGCTCTGCTGCATTCATCAGCAAACATGACACGGCTACGACATTTACTATTAAACATAAATACACTAACACACCTATTAATGTGCGCTATTTTCACGGTGTGGTACAAGTTAATGCGACCAGTAAATGTGAGTCAAACTTATAATTAATAAATAATTGTAATTTAACCTTTATTGTCCCTCATGGGCAAATTCTTTTTACGCCTCCATAAGCTTGCTCTTTGTAGAACAAGCTGTCTGCGAAGGGCAGCCGCCTGTTGGGGTAACTTGTAGAGACTTGTAGATCAGTCACTATAATCTGAGTTAACTATCACTGATTTATCACTGTTAGATAAAAATAAATTGTTTTTCCCCGTTGGCAGAAGCCTGTTCTTCAAAAGGCCAGTTGATATTTGCGAGTTTGCAGCAGGTACGTAATGACCTTTTTCAGACTCAGAATCGCCATGTAATTTTACTTAGGTGGAATTAAGGCCTACTTTGGGACAGTCAAGGAAGGACGGTTAAGGAAATTAACATAATTATATACATAGAATATTGTGCTTAGTGCTGATGATGTGGATACTGCAATGCAGTGTTGCAGTGGGTTCATTAGCTGGGGGGCATAATACGCTTGACGCAGTGTAGCAGCAGTGGCAGTTGGGGGCGCTGTGGGGCTCAGTGGGTTAGTCTTCTGTGCATGTGATCAGAAGGTTGCCACTTTGAGTCCTGGCCTTTGTAGAATAGTTGTATTACCACCTGGCTGCTCATCAAGGTAGAGCTGCTGGATAAATAGCCTGACCATGCGCTTGGACCTCATGCAAATAGAACCATTCTAATGTGTGCAAATGTTAAACTGAGGATCATTTCATTTCATTTCAGTTTCAGTTTAGGGGGTTGGATAGAGGTGAAGGTGCCAATGATCTGGAGCTGAGGGCTCCAGGGGCTGAGAGCAGAACTTGTTAAAGTTTTTAATGGAGCAGGAGGAGGGGTTTGTGGTTTGTAGCTGTTAGGCAGAATACATGCATTTAGCCTCTCGCAGTGCCTCTCCAAACTTATGTAATCTCTTTAAATCAGTCCCCATTCCCACTTTGACGTTTTCATTTCTGAGTGAGTGATAAGCACAGCTGATGGCAGTGTAGCAATGATCTAACATTTTTCCTATCTTAAAATTCAGGAAGGTCTTAACTTTGGTTGCTTTTGTTAGTCGGCCAGAATGATAATTAGGGAGTCTGGGACTGTCCGCTCCACTCTCAGGATCTAACTGGCCAACTGCTAATGCACCACTACTTTCTCAGTGAAAAGGATGCAAATGAAAGTAATGTGATAAAAGATCTAGCAATTGACAAGATTTGTTTGATGTGTTTACATTCTTATTAATTTTGCATTTTTTCCCCTAACCCAGATTACTTCACGGATCCAAATCTGCCAAGAACAGTCCATACCAAACTTCAAGATAATCTTGAATAATTCATTTGAATAAATACACAATATTGATAAAATTGTTCAGTGGTTTATCAAGAATGTGGGCTCTCTGAAGCATATATAGACACTGCTTTGTCAAACTTTTACTACAAGAAAATATTAGAAACACTTAAAACAAATGTAACTGACTGGTTTTCAGTAGTGTATCGCTTGTTTTCAGTAGTGTATCGCTTGCAGTAACATTATTTAGCCACAAAGGTTGAAATTATATCAGGTCTGCTTTAGTGCATTGACATTCACTTTGTGTGAATTCTGTTTACTAATGTCAGAACTTGATTTGCTCGTGGCCTCTCTTGATTGTGTCTTAATAAACTAAATGATACTTACTTGTCTGTCTTGTCCCAGATGAGTTTGTAAGTGGTTTAATACACTGTCCGCTCCTCATTTCAATCTTCTGTTGTATCGTAATCACAACTGATGTCATAATTTTTGATAAATATTTTTAAGGTTGTAATGGCTAGAAAGGCACAGCTAACAATTGAACAGAGGGCTCAAATTAAAATTTTGAGTGAAGAAGGGTTCTCTCATCACCAAATAGCCAGGAAGTTAAATATTTCTAAGCATGGAGTGCTCTTCTGTTTACAGAGAAAACGGTTGACAGGAAGCAACAGTGACCAGAAACAGTCTGGGGCAAGGAAAGTGAGATCAGAGGCTGAAGATCAACACTTACGTTCCAATGACTCGCCCGGCAGCAACCGGGAAAGCAGTCTTTGAGTTCCAGGGGGAGTATGGCTGCAAAGCTGAAACTTAACAAGAAAAAGAGACTACTATAGCCAAAAAACACAAACTGGAGTATTTGGGACTGGGAGCAGGTCTCGTGGACAGACGGACGTTCATCCATGGGCCCAGTTGGAGAGAAAAGTTTAAAATGAGTCTAGCAAATGAGACAGAACTGTTTGTATCCTCGACGGTACCGGGAGGGTTTGGATACAAGTTATTTCCAAAAATTGCTGGAAAGGAGGCTGTGAATCTGTGCTGCTGTAATAAAGGCAAGTTATTTTGATGAAACTCATACTTGCAGCTATTAAATTGCACTTACAATGTACAGTAAATTGTTACATTACACTTCAAAACCAGACAGTTAAATGTATTTTTAATATTTTCTTGTAGTAAAAGTTTGGAAAAGCAGTGTTTTGTTTTTTAAAAATCGGAGGGTGGGGCCCAAACTTCCGGCCTGTAGTGTATGTATGTATATATACACCCTAGAAAAACCCCTATGGCAGCAGAATACGAGACACTGAAGATCTTTAAGATTAAAATCCACTCTCCTGAAACCCTACAATGTGTTTATTAATTAGAATTAGATGGTGTAATTAACACAGCAATCGAATAAGCAAAGACACTAATTAGACACGAGTGCAGATTAGCTCATCTAAATCACTCTCTATTAGGGGTGTGACAGTACACACTGTGGTCTTCTGTTCACGGTTCAGTGCAATTTTCGGTACAGGAGGGACAACAAGTTGAAAATATTAAAACTGCAAACAAAGGTATCCGTTGATGTGTCTGAATAACAAAAACTAAGACATGCTTATTTGCACATTGTAAAAATAAATATTCAAAATTAAAAAATAAGACTGCATCACCACCACAATGAATAAAATCTAGTATTCTCTACTACCGAGCATGGTCGCATATGTGTAGCATTAAATACCCCGATAGCCTGGACTGAAACTTGCAGAGGCTGCTTCAGTCTTGTTCCATTCGTACACACTGTTTGTTAGCATGTTGTATGTGTCTCCAGCAATAACTCCGACTTCGGTATAACAGCCGACAGTCTCGGTCTGGACTATCTTCTCTCCAGTGTTGCTGTAATTTACTAGGAAACCAAAACGTTCCCAAACTACCGATTATGACAGACCACCAGCACTAGTCAAACCCAACTCAGAGCCAAAATTACCCTGTTTTCAGTGCTCATGTACTTGTGAATTTAGATCCCGCCCATGTCAAGAAAAGTATTCATTCGTTTCATTGTGCATTCCGAACAAAAAACGATGTAACCAAAGGCATCTGACGAATATGTGTACCGCTACAGGCCTAATCCCTATTAATGCATCTCACAACTTTTTTTTTTTTTTTTTAATAATGGCCTTTTATTTCAGAAACACACCTATGTCTACACAAACCAATAATTACAGCCAAGTGGCATTGAGCAAACAGGTAGGACCCAAATATGCACAATATAGGGTTTTATATTAAAAAAATCGCCACTTCTGGTTTAAAAAAAAAACCCACATGTACACACACACACACACACACACACACACACACATACATACATACATACACACACACACACACACACAACACACCTTAAAAACAGGAATAATAGAAATGTAGTTTACAATTAGCACTGATTTCTGTGACAAGGCTAGGAATATATGAATATAATATTTAAAAAGATTCCCTTTCAGAGTTATGAAACATCCCTCAAACCACCGTCAGTGTCCCAATGCAGGGTATTAATAACTTTCATTACACTATACAGCTTTAAAATATAACACCCTGCCAGGAAATCGGCAAAAGCAAAAGGGAAAAAAAAAAAAGGTTGTTTTCCAGAACATGAAGCACATTCGTCTTGTAGGTCAATATATACATCTTGCAACTCTATAGACTAAAATAACTCACAGACAGCTATACAATGTAAAACATCATGTAAAGGTTATAAAATGTGATTCACAGTCATCTCCACCCGTCATATACTGTTCACTAATTGACTAAATTTAACCCCACACACACACACACAAACACACCTGCTTGAGTGGATTTCAGCCTACGGCCAGTTCTGTGGCCCAGAACTGACAGTTCATGGAGAGAAATTTCGATGTGGAAATCCCCTACTCCGAGTGCAAATCTACTTATTCACATTGAGTTCTCATTAAGCCTAGAAAAACACCTGTGTGTGTGTGTGTGTGTGTGAGAGAGAAAGTACCTGCCGCAACACACGCTTTGTGCTGTTCAGGAGTTAATCTGTACCAAAAAACAAAAAGCTGTTATTGTGTCCTCATCCAGTACATGACTCACCATCTGGATCCACAGCATTTTACAGGACATGTACAGCCAAAGTCAGTCTCTGGCTGATGTAATTTCCTGTAATATGAAGGAGAGAATCTCACTAAAACATCACTATGTATCTCAGTCGGCTTCAACACCAGCAGCCATGTCATAAGTAATCCAAACATACTCATTCAAAACAAAAACAACGTGACTTTTTTTTAAATAACCAACCAATGACAAACATTACTACATTACTAGAACAGTGTTCCCCAATACAGTTCTCCACATTTTTGCTCCCTCCCAACTCCCTGTAGTAAAAACATGGACTGTCTACGGGTCCCTGAAGACCGGGTTAGGAAACCCTGCGCTAGAGTGTTCATGACATAATGCTTCAAATGTTTTTCACAAATATCTTTCTGTAGTGATGAAATCAACTTGGTCTGCCATTTAGCCTCTTGGCCTAGTGGCGATACCACATTAAAATTAAGTTAATCATTAAAATAAAAAATAATAAAAACAGAAAATAAGACGTCCCTTAGGGGAGTAAAGGTGTGTTACAGAAGAACACTTAACAGAATCTGATGACCTCCTCAAAGGAATAAAACAAATGTATAAGATCTTGGTCAAGCTAGATCTGGAGAACTTAAGTTAAACAGGTTCACAAATGAGTCGGAGGAGAACCATGTGTCTCTACAGTAACACGGAGTCACCACTGTTGCCTGTGATGGTGCTCTGTGATGGTGCTCTGTGATGGCCGACTTCAGCCCCACTGAAATCTGCATCCTGCAGCTCCGTCAAAGCTGCGGCGGACAAGTCCTTCTTCCAGTGGGTCAAAGATCAGGGCCATTCAATGCCGGTGAAGTCCATTCTCAAGCTCCCGTTACCTCCTTAAGGACTCGGAGGGGAAACTGACAGGTTACATAAAAGCCAAAGGCTCTGACTCCAATTAGCTCTGGCTTTTCCCTCCCGTCCAAAGCAGAGAAATACTAACTAAACGAGCCTCATTTGTGTTCTGTTGTTTCCCTTCACTGCACCTCTCCATAACCCAGGTGCACTCCTCAGGTTTCTCTCTCTGCCTCCTCTTCCTCCTCAGGCCTACGCAGGCTTGTCCGTCTTGTGAGAGGCGATGAAGGCCATGCCGTGCGTCCTGAAGTGCGTGTTGAGATCGGAGAGCTTGTCGAAATGCCGGCTGCACACCCTGCAGGCCGTCTGGTCCTCGCCGTCCTCCGCCGCCCGGGGGTTCCCAGGGGAGTCCGGCGACGAGGAGGCCGACGGGATGTCGGCCGAATCGGAGCGCCCCCTGGTGGGGGAGCCGGTGCGGCCGGCGGGGTCCGGGTCCCGCACGCGGTGCGCGATGAAGCGGTGGCGACTGAAGGAGCCGGCGGAGGCGAAGCATGCGCCGCACTGCGTGCACTGCAGGGCGGCGCCATCAGTGCGGTGCTGCGGGATGTGCTGCAGGAACGTCTGCCTGTCCTCCGTGGAGAAGCCGCAGGGGGCACAGCAGAATGGGCCCTCCTCCGAGGCAGGTCTCGGGCCCCGGGGCCTCTTCGCTGGGCTGGCGCCCTCGCCAGGCTCCTCACTCCCGCTACCTGCCCCGACCTCACCTTCCTCCTCTCCAGAAGCAGCCTCCTCTTGGCCCAGCCCACCCTCCTGCTCAGAGGAGCTGTCCAACTGCGCTCTGGCCCGGGTCCGAGCAGGACTCTGCAGGTGCGTGGGGGATGGAAAATCTTTTAGATTTAGAAATGGACACAAGCTACACACCCTGCACTTTTAGGGCAGGCAATTCAGGCAAACGCTTACGAGAATAAAAATGCCCCTCCCATCCCCACCCACCCACTTCAGGTTCAGACCTGCCGGCCGTCCTGGTCCTGCGGAGTCAGGCCGTGCTGGACCCGTACATGCTTCTCCAGGATCAGCCGGCTGCTGAAGGTCCGCTTGCCTTCAGTGCAATATCTGAGAGACAGCGTGGGGCCAAGGGTGTCAGCCAAGACCCCAAAACCCACCGGGTCATGCACAGGGGGTGTCCGGCTCAATATCGAGGAGCACTAACACAGTGGGAACCAGGGGGGGCGCTGAAGGAAACTGCACGACGTCGGGGGTGACGGACACTCACGGACAGTAGAAGACCCTCCTGATGCCCTCGTGGTTGACCCGCACGTGCCGCCGCAGGCTGGGGGCGGAGCAGAAGGAGCGCTCGCACATACGACACGGGAACTTCTTCATGAACTGCGATGGGGCAATAAAACAGAAATTCCCATGAAAACCCCCACAGCCCAGGCTCCAGCTGCCCAGCCTTGGTCTAAATAATTCCACACCAGCAGAGAGAGATGCCCTTCTGTGCTCCAGGCTGCAAAGATGAAGCCGTTCTTGTCTAAAGCATCCTTTGTGATTTTACTGCTTAGAATTACAGAAAGATATACAGTACGATGCCTTATATGCCTACAAACTGCCTACTCTTTCCGTTTGTGGTAGATCTGCAAACACGCATGACTGGGACGGCTTGTGTCTGATCTCCAGGTGCCCGGGGCTGATTCTGTGGCAAAGCAGCTTTGCAGACCAGCACAAATTTTCCAATCACTAATTTCAAAATAAACAAATCTATTCTTTTGAGATCCCCCAAGTGATGTCCTTGAGATTTATGTATATAGCACTTGTTTTATATTTATTTATTTGTTTGTTATTGTTCCTTACTCCAATGGCCCACAATCGATATTTTCCTTTGTATTTTTTGCAGTATGTATGTGTGCGTGAATGTCATAGGTCTGTGTGCCTACGTGTATGTATAAGCTAGTGGACACCTACATTTCCTTCTGCATAAATAAAGTATCTCTCTCTCCCTCTCTATTTAGCAAGTGAGGGGAGTTTGATCTAATCAAAAGGCATTTTAGGGTCTGGTTGGATATGGCTTGCAGTGTCCTACGTGCTTCTACATATTCACAGTCAAAGTGATGTACATGGGAGGCAGCGTGTGGCTAAGCCTCTCTGCCGGTGATCAGATGGTCATCAGTTCGAAGCCCAGCTTCTGCAGATTAGTCACATGTCTGTGGGCCCTTAACCCCCAGCTCCATGGACGCCACTGCAGGTGGCTGCCCTTCGCTGCCAAGCTCGCTCTCACCTACGTATCAGTCTGTGTGCCGTGGACAGCAAGACAGGGTAGGCGAGAAGAGAATTTCCCCACGGGGATCAATAAAGTGTCATTAGTATTATTGAGAAAGGATGGTCAAATGGGGCCTTGTTTAAAGGCCCAACAGTGAAATAACTCTACTGACACTGAGCTTTGAACCTGCGACCATCTGATGAAAGAGTCACCCGCCAAACCCACTGAGCCACACATCTCCCCCATGAACATATGCCAGCTATACTGTAAACCCCACAGCGCCCCCCCCCCCCAAAGCAGTGCTGACCTTGCCGTGCTTCTTCTTCATGTGCGAGATATAAGCTTCCCTCTCCGCGTAGTGCGTCTGACATTGACGGCAGCTCCACTCAGAGGTCGCTGCTCCGGGGGGCCCCGCCTCAGGGGTGCCGGGGGCCTCGTCCTGCCCCTCCCCGTCGGCCTCCTCCTCTCCCTCCTGCTCCTCCCGGTCGCCGGGCCAGTCCTCCCCATCTGAGCTTTCCATTTTGGTGGAGGACTTGGATTTGGGAGTGGACGAGGGAGGTGGGGGACGAGGTGCGGGTGTGGAAGTGGAGGCCGGGACTTCCTGTTTCACCGACGCCCCCCTGTGGGCCATCTGGGAGCAGCAACGTAAGAATCATAAGAGAAAGGTTATTGGTGTCAAAGGCAAAAGAGCAAAGCATGGAGTCTCAGAGCTCCACAAGGAACGTCTGCCAGACACCGGTCACAATATCCAAATACTTACGTCTGAAGACTACAAGTATTTTTTTCCAACATATGCTGATAAAAAATATGCTGTTAATGTAGCCTATGCTAAAAGCACTGCAGTGCCGAAATGCAGTGACATGCTTTTGTTTTGCATTTGTTTTGTTTCTGTTTCTTCGTTTAAACCATTTTTTCGTTGCCTGTTTTTGTTCTGGTTTTACAGTTTTAGTTTCGTATTCATATTGTTCGTCGCCTTCTGACAGGCCTGTAAAAGGCCCTTTATAAATAAATTTTACTTACTTACCTCTGAACTGTTAAAACACAAATATAATGTTTCAGGCTTTTTAACATTTGCTATTTTAATGCATGGTTTATGCAACCGGGAGTCAGTTGGGCAACAACTTTATTCAAAATACTAATTCTAAATATTAGCTGGTAATTCAATTTCAATTGAAAAAGTAGGTATAGAAAATGGATAGATGGATGACTGTTAACACTGTTCCATTATTTAAATATTATAATCAGGATACAATGTTAATATCACGATGCGTCATGATGCATCAATGTGACACTGGTATCGGGATGAGTATTGTATCATGAGCTACCTGGCAATTCCCAGCAGTACTGTACATCTGTGATGCAACTCGCATTAAATTTCTATGCACTGCGGAAGGGCACCATATAAATTGAAATGAACTGGCTTAATTAAGCTAATTGGCTTTGGTTGAAATACAGTACCTTGATGTGCTCCATCATGGAACCTTTCTGAGCATAGAGTTTGGTGCAGTCAGGACACTTGAAGACGTGCACCTTCTGTTTGGCCAGGTGAGTATCGAAATGGACATAGAGCAGAGGCTTCTGGGTGAACACCGTGTCACACATCACGCACTTGTAAATCATCCTGCAAGAGCAGACAGAGGAGTGACTCAGGGGAGCTCGGTTTGAGCCTCAGAGAAGGGGGGGGGGGGGGGGTAAAACCCGAAAGAACAGATCCTACTTGGCAGGTGTGGAGCCCAGCGTAGGATGCTGGGTGCTTATGTGAGCCTGGGCCATGGGGCCTGATTTGAAAGCCATGGGGCAGCTGGGGCATTTGTGGAAGACCTCGCAGTGGGCAGTCTGGATGTGCGACTTGATGGAGTTGAGGCCGCCGAAAACCACCTGGCAGCTGGAACACCTGGACGCCATGCAGATTTGGGTCAGCGGATGGTCAGTGCCGGCAACGGCCAGCAGGTGGCGACGATGAGCAACCGACCTGTAACCGATGCGACGGGAGAAGTGCAGGCAGGCCTCGTCCAGGTGCGTCTGGAAGCTGGCGGGCCGCGCCACGCCCCCACACTCAGGGCAGACGTGGGGGGCTCGGTGCTTGTGGAGACGCTGGTGGGCGGCGGCGCTGCAGGCATTGGGCAGCATCATGGGGGGCGAGCACAGCGTGCAGGACTGTCGGGGGAGCAGAGAAAGGCGGGCGGGAGACGCTCAGTGAGCCATTGTCATGCGCACCTATGTCAACAGGCAGGAGGACCCCCCTCCCCTGCACTCACAGTGTCAGACTCAGCCTTGACCTCCTGGAAGTGGGCCACCAGCTCGGCTTTGCTCCCCAGCTGGGCCCGGCACTCGGCACACTTGAAGTTGTGGTACTGCAGCTCCTCGCCCTTCTTGCAGGGGAGGGGCAGCAGGACCTGGGGGCTGTCGGCAGCACGCCGGGGGCGGGCGGGCGCGGCCTGGCCGGCTGGCTCCTCCTTCGAAGAGCCGGAGGCCATGGAGGACAGAGCTGTAGGGACGGGGGCCAGGGAGGGAGAAGAGAGAGGGGAGGAGAGCATGCCTGGGGAGGGCAGGAGGAACAGCCACAGTCAGAGCAACAGACAGGTGTGAGTTTGGTACCAGCTCTACCCATCAAAAAACAGAAAGTAGCAAGTGACAATTCTGGGCCATCACAAGGCAAATGCACACACTTCCATAAACTATGGGCTATTTAGAGATGCCAATTAGTCCCATTTTTGAGAAAGCAGGCTCAGGCAGTCCTGTCAAGGGTCCAACGGTAACATCACACTACCTTCCCTGAGATCTGAGCCAGCAACCTTCCAATAACAGGCACAGTATCCCAAGCCGCTGAGTGACACACAACACAAACCCAAAAACGTGGAGGTGAGAGGCAACAGTGCTTCCCATTGAGCCACCACAGGTGCTTTCCCACCGAAGTTCAGGAACCTAGTTCCTGGTTCCAAGTTCCGTCTCACCCGAAAACTTTTGCACCTCCGGGCCACTTTCATTTGTCACTTTCCAACCACACAAGAGGAACCGTGACGTTTATGCTAAATCAGAAAGGGAGATGCAAAAAGCTTCTAGGTTAAACAGGCAGACAGCAATATTAGACAAAAAGTATATTATCGTTTGAATTTTCCAATGCAGAAATAAAGAGATGCAAGCGAAACAGTATTCATTGATGCATTTAATGTAACTGAGATACAAAAATAATTCCATCAGCTCAATACTTTACCTTTTTTCCACACACTTCCGTGTAACTTCCACGTTAGTGCTTGTGGCCAACCAATCAGCTAGTTTATCACTATAAGGCCCATCCCAACAGTTTGTGGTCATACAAAAAGTACCTAGTTCAGAGTAGGGACTAATAAAAGGTTCTGGAACTACAACTGGACTGAGTTATGGTGAGAATACGACAGAAATTCCTGGTTCCTCGAAAAAAAGTTCCGGTAGTGGAAAAGCACCTCATGGCACCCCTACAATTCTACTGCCATTTCATTTGCTCCTGTCACATGTTGGGAGACAGGCAGACAACAACAAACAGCAAACAGGGAGACTCACCAACTGGTGTGGTATCCTGTTGGCCAATCATCTGCTCCACAGAGATAGGCCGCATGACTAGGTGGGAGCACTGCATGACCAAGCCCCGCTCCTTATGCTCTCGTGCATGCAACAGCAGGCTGCACTTGTTGAAGAAGGCCAGCCGCTTGGCGCAGTGGTTGCAGGTGACCTCAATCCGCAGTGAGCGTCGGTCGTAGTGACGCGCTAGGCTGCGCTCCAAGGCGAAAGCATCGCCGCATTCCAGGCAGCGATAGCCATTGGTGGGTAGCGGGAGGCTCCACTCGGAAGGCAGGGGCATGGAGAGATCGGGCCGATAGCTGGGCAAGAGATTCTTGCTGTTGAGGATCTTATTGAAGGCCTCCACCAGGCTGGACTGGCTACGTGAAATTACAGCGCCCGTACTGTTAACAATCGAGGCGGGCTTGGAGATCTGGCCAGTCAGGGCGGTAGCAGTGCCACCATTGACCGTTTTCTGCGCCATGGTGCGTATGCTGATCCCGCTGGTTCCTGGACTGGATTTAGAAGAGGAGGTGGCTGCGGATGACGGTAACACAGAGGGGAGAGTGGCGACCTTTGTGATGCTGACAGCAGTGGTGGAGACTTTTGTCTTCTCAGACGCTGTGGCGGCCATCTTGTTCTGGACTTTGCTGGCGGCCACCAGCATGGCGGTGCTGGCTTCCTGAAGGACGGACACGGGCAAAATGGTGCCTTTGCTGTTCTGCTGCTGGGAAGCAGGCTGTCGAACAGAGGAAGCGATGTTGGCTTTCCTGGGCCTACTGGCATCTTTACGCCCCCCAGGCTGAGCTTTGGAGTCACCAGCCTTGGCGCTCGCACAACCCGCTCCTTTGGGGGCGACCCTAGTTACTGTCCTAGTGATTCCCCCTGTTGAGGTCTTTACGGTCTTGATACGTACTTTCAGAGGCCTGGAGGGAGTCCCAGTTGTGCCCTTAGAGGCGACAGCTGTGTTAGTAACGACGATTGTTGAAGATTTGTCTCCATCATCCACATCCATCTTCTCATCTTTCTTTCTCTCTCCCGGAGCTGAATCAGGTTCCACGGGATTAGAGCCATCTAGAATGTTCACCTTTTTGTCCCTCGCCTCTTCTTCCTTACTGCCATTTATCTCCACCTTCTCGCCAGCTTTCTGGAGGGCAGAGGACGACGGGACAGAGGTCGCAGCAACAGCTGACCTTCTACTGGAGACTCCAGTTCCAGTGTCTTTGGGGAGTCCAGAGTGAGGCGTTTCTGGCTCAGGACTCTCTGGGGAGTCTCGCTCATCGATGACATGCATCGTCGACTTCTGTTCCTCCTTAGAGTTCACGCTGGTGGCTGTGGGTAGTGTGGAAAGCCAACTCTGGGAACCAGTGGATGGCAGGGGTGAACTTGGCCCTTGACCAATACCTCCAGTCTTGATATAAGTAGATGTAGTGGGATTAGAATGAGAGGAATTGGTGTTGAACCCCTCAGCAGGTGACTTGTGGCAGCGAGGGAATTTTGCAGGAGTGCATGCTGGGGAATCCGGACTCTCTTGAATTACCAACGGACTTCCCAAATCTGGTTCGGAATCAACATCGTCTAATTCTAAATGAGGGAAGCCTCTTCTTTGGGGGCCATTAAATAATTGAGCGGTGGACTGTGAAGGAGAACGTGTCCCAGAGGCCATGCCTTCATGCAGGCCGGAGTGAGAGAGATGGGGGCCCACGTTGGGAGCAGAAGAACTGGGGTGCACAGGTATGGGTGGGGGAAAGAAAGACGATGGCATCCCTACTGACACTCCGGGAACAAGGGAAGCCGCAGCATCACAGGAGCCAGCGGCCTTGGATCTGTCTGTTCCCTCTGTCACAATTTCATGCTGCTGCAGGTGAAGCTGCTGCTGTTGTAGCAGAAGCATTTTTCGGACCTTCCCCATGGGATCCCCTGGACCCTGAGCCACCAGGGGTTTCAGTCTGTTGAAGAGATTGCCACTTTGTTTGGTACCAAAGGCTGACCCTAAATCGACGCCGTTTCCACTGCTCTCATTACCTCCTTTGGGGGAACAGGGAGCCCAGAGTTCTCCATTCGACTGGCCCTGGGTCTGATTCAGCGCAGCATCCATGGAACTGGCAGCAGCCTCAAATCCATTGTGAAGGAGCGGTTCCGGTGACACCAAACCTGGCATTCTAGGACCCATTACCACTCCTCCACTGACTCCCCCCATCACCTCTGTACCAACGCCCACTCCGTCTTTATCAATATCTGTGTCGGCCTCCTCAAAGTTCTCTGGGCGAACTCTGTTCTTCACAATGACGCTGACAACAGAGGGGTCACCTTGCGAGGGATGAGCTTGTGGGTGATGGTGGTGGTCCGGAGAACTTCCAGGTCTCATCAATGAACCTCCGCTTCCACCAACCCCGGTTCCATTTCCACCTGACTTCCCCGCCAATCCCGCAGGTCCCACGTGGTGGCCCTCTGTTTCTTCGGGGGCTGACTGAATAGCTTCCTTGGCATCGATGTCCGGAATGTCAAATGCCGCCAATAAATCATCAAAATCCGGGGTCTTCATGTCCCCCATAACGGGATAACAGGAAGAAAGCTGATTGAGACAGAATCCAGGATAAAGATTATAGGATAAATGACGTGTCATAAATCTGAACTTGGACTATACAGGAAAAAATAATTTTAGCTTGTTTATAAAGATCTTGATCAAGACCAAAGTATTAATACAGGGAGTCACACTTCAAATAAGAGGACCCAGAATTATAAAAGCATAGAAGTGAAATTATAACAGTAGCACTTAACTACAACTATAGTGATTTTCACACTTACATTGAAGGAAATATGTCTAATGAGGAGGAACTTTTTTGCATGAGTAACAGTGTCATCTGTATTTTTACTTTCTAATTCAAGTAATAATTTATAATGGGCGTTATAAACAAATATTTGTGTGTACTGTGTATTTAGGTGCATTTGATTTGGGACTGACAAATCAACCTGTTAAATATTACACTTGAGTGTCCTCTGTGTATTTAATCATTTGTGATTTTGCATACTAAAACGCCATCTTCTGGCATCCTATGTGTACATTTACAATACAATGTTCTATTTTCCCAACAATGCATCCGTTTTTCTACTGCAGTGTGGCTTTGATACTCCAAACCACAAATATCACTTTCCGCGTGTTTTACATGGTGTGAATATAAGATGAACCGATCCAAGGAAATTTTATTTATATTTATATATATTATTATTATTTACAACTGTTGACCTTCCCCTAAAAACGAATCAGTCACGTGGTGTGGGAAATGTACTGCTCTAAGTAACGCATTTTCCATTTGCGTTTAGCAGATTTTCAACTTTCACATAGACTGTAATTCATTTTTTTTTTTATTATTACAAATCATCGCTTTAACATCTGATATTGCTCACTGATTATAACCCTAGCATTAATAACGCAACGCCGCCCTCAAGTTAACCCTTTTACGTTTTTCTAGATATCAGCCATAAACCTTTACGATACTGTATCATAAACACGCTAAGTGAATCTCTTTCCTGAGATACAGCCAACCAACATTAATCCAAAGCACGTTTATGGATCTGCTACCTACCCCATTCTGGACTAATCAATAGCAAATACATAGCCGAGTTTTTCCCACCACTTTTCCCACCGTACAGGCAGTGAAATGGGAAACCCATAAAAATAGATATTTGACTTGTAAATACATAACACTATTTTGTTTAGGATATTCGGATTGCAAGTACCCTAACATATGTTTAACAACTTTTATCACAAACCCATAATTGCCTAGTAAGTATTGCTCTCCTCACGATACAATGTGGAAATACCTAAACAAACGCTACTTGCGTTAAGACCGGACTCCATTAAAACGACGGTAAAATGTGATCAGCAACTGTATTCTGAACAATTCGAGCTATTTACCGCGCAAATCCATATATCGGTTAAGAATCCATATAAGCAACGGCGTCGTGTAATCGCAGGAATCACAAACCGTACGCTAACATTAATTTTAATTGCAACAATAGATGGTCGAGGCGACCTACTCTGAAAAGTTGCGGCTATCCGAGGGTGAGGATGGCGCCGTCTACACTCCAGTGCCCACATAATAAAAATAAAGCCCGCTTCGCTACTTGTAGTGTGCAAACACTGATTTAACTAAGCTTGCTATATTTAGGTGATAATGTGTTAACCCGATCGTGAAGAGGTCATGCATAACGCCGAGGGGGGTTGTTTCCTTCTCTCGGATTTCTCAGTCCATCTAGCTAGCTGATTTCCACCTACAGGATCCACTGAGAAAACACGGCCAGCTGAGGGGTCATTTAAATATCCAGCTTTCAGGTGTCTCCGATCGATTCGTGGTTATATAACCGGCTTCAGCTGCACGGTCGCTGACGTTTGTCTCCATATCGACGTGCCTGGGTGCAAATCGGCGGCAGTATTCGGCTTTTTGGCGGAGAAACGTTTGATTTGTTTACCTTGTTTAGAGATTCCCGACTTTCCTGGCTCCAGTCACGGCGCCTGAGTTTCCCGTCACCCGATGACCGCTCAGGTCCTGTCAGATGTGTTTTTAACCCTATCCCTGTTTCACCTGCTTTGTCATTATATTCTTACATTTAAAAAAATCAGCACAATATATAATGAAATATTTAATATTATGCTCCATAATATGTGGTTTAATCCTCTTTTTTTTCTCGAACCGCACGCCCTTTACGTACAGTACAACCTCTAAAGACCTTCCGTTGCCGCAGATAAGCGCCGCGTCTGTTTCATAGAAAATAAAAGCTGCAGGTCAGTCGTTTTTGTACGGACTTCATGCCCGTTTACAGTCGCTTTAAATCGCTCGAGTTATATCGGGTAACAATTCGTTCAAGTCCACGCGTATCGTACTCAACGATATGGAAAAAATGGCGTATCCTAGAACCTTTCTTAAACCCAATGAGTGTTTTCCTTTTGCTATTTTTTTAAATCAAATTGTGTATAGTTAATCCCCATTTTAATTTTCACAAAAATTACAGAAAGGAGATTAAAATCACCTTATAGTACTTTATTAATTTGACAAAAAATCATAATAAGACCTTAATTTAATTAGCATGTTAGCTGTAGTTGTTACCAGTACTCTGCACTTTGATTTAGGAGCGTGTAAAGTGTACCGTATACGCATGTTCTGCTCTGCCTATTGATTAGTAATGTCTGTTCAAACATTCATTTGCTTATATCCGTCAGCATGCATCCAAACGTAGGCTACTATGGATACACGTGAAGCTTTTTTTTATTATTTTGCTCATCTTTGTTGTTTTATGGTGTTGTGAAACTCATCTCTGAGGCCAGGGAGCCCATGATGAAGCAGACTTCCATTTTTGGGGTTCACATCTGGTCCTTCAGGTCCTGGTTCACATAGATGTTGATCTCCACCTTAAACAGAGTACAGGATTTGAAATGTTAAGAGGAAGGCCAGGATATGTTCTATCCATATTTACAATTAAATTACCAAATTTCACACAACCTACTTGGTCATGCTGGTTGTTACTCCTGAATCTGTATCTGATAACCCTGCTCCACTATACTGTCCAAATACAGTCAGATGTTTAAATTATAGGAAGGCAGAAAGAAATAGAATGGAATAGAATAGAGTGATACTTTATTAATACCTATAGGGAAATTCTCTTTTTGCACACAGAGTGACAAAAGCGAGCTTGGGGTTAAGGGCCTTACTCAAGGGCCTAGGAACATGTGACTTCTGCTGAGGTCAACCAGTGACCTTGCAATCACAGGCACACAGGCTTACCCTGCTAAGCACCCCCCCAAAAAAAAAAAAAGTAGAGAGAATAAAGACAAAAATCTAAACCTGTGTCAGAAGTGTGCCAATCCATCACAGGGCTTATACGACTGGGGAATGTTTCTGCAGTATGGGAAGAAACTGGAGTACCTGGTGGAAATATGTGCAAGAAGGACCACGTGCAATCTCCACACACATAGCAGGGGTGCTGCTCAAACCCAAAGCCTAGAAGTGTGAGTCACTGTGCTGCACTGAATAACATTTAGAGTACTGTAGTTTAAGACTAGAGCAATCAAATAAATAAAACTGTCATAGGTAGATTTAGGAGGAATACTTAAATCTCCACCTCCCATCTTTGAACCCCCCCCCCTTCCATTTCTTTAGAAAAATACTTGTCTATTTCAGCTATGTTCTCCCATAGTACCAGCTGCAGATGGCAGCACAGGCCAGCGTTTCTGAACCCGGTCCCCAGACAGTCCACGTTTTTAAAGAGCTGGGAAGGAGCAAAATCATGGATCCCTGAGCACCAGTCTGAGAAACACTGGCACGGGCAATGAACCCGGTGGGCCTCTTCTCCTCAATGCCTCTGTTTGTCCCTGAACAAACATAGGTAATATAGAAGGAGAGCAGGCATTATTGTGAGAGAAATGACGTCACGCAGTGGTGAGAAACATTTGCAGCATTCCCCCTGTTTCTCTCACCATTGAAGGGCTGCATTGGGGTCCATCCCAAGTACAAAAGTCACTGGCTCAAAGGCCCAGGAATGATCTGGGAGAGGAATGCATCTGCCAGACTGGCACATCAGGGTACAGTCACAAAGCGGAAGCCTCTTTGGGGGGGGGGGGAAGGCAAAGATGGAAGCGTGATTAACACAGGACTATTTTTTGAATCTACAACAAAGTCACACTGATCTCCTCTCCAAAATTGACCACATTAACATCGACCCTTTCTTTATTCCCTGGGCCATTTTTGATCTGTGAAGCAGAATGGGGGTAAACTTTCAGCTCAATGGTGGAAAGAGTCAGGCACACATGTAGAACAGGACATTTAAAAAAAAAAAAAAAAAAAAAAAAAACTAACATCTTTATGCCCCCTACTGGTCTGCTGGCAAAATAGCAACAATCTGTATTCATTGCCTGTGCTTTAGAGCCAGCAGTGTTAGAGATTCATATGGCTTTGACAGATACGTGGCCTTAACACGAAAAGCAAAAGGCAGGTGAAATTCATCCAAACATTATTATTACATGTGTAAATTTCCTAAAATGAAGCCTAAAAGACCAGCACGGGTCAAACTTAAGCAGAAAAACGCATTTCTTCTGACAATTAAGAAGTAGGTGCATTTCTCATTACTGGCTACTTTAGTAAATTTTAGTCCTTGTGCTTAGCATTACAAAAGCGCAGTACCGGAGACTCCCCGAGCCGAAACTGCTGGTGCTAAAATGCAGTTGGAATGATACACAAAGAAGTCGGGTATACACATTAACCGAGCTCTGCATGAAATGAAAGCAGACGACGAAATTATTTTCTTCTCGGTATTGTACGAATTAAGTGTTAACAAGCACAGCTCAGAAACACTCAACTAATCTTAAGAGAAGGAAATGATATATCACCGATTAATTCGGAAATTAAACGAAATCAATGAATTAGTGAATGCAGTTAACAACCGGAGAATCACTTTCGCCACCGTCCGGTGTGATATCGACTTTGTCAGGCGTCAGTAAGTCCAATACAAGCATAAATATACTTTAATAGTAAACATTTATATTTAGCTCTAAATCAACCCAAAAATAATTTTATCGATCTGTAAACCTCTCTTTTCATATGACGACCGTGTCATTGTTCAAGCTTGTGGAGTTTCAACGTTGTTTTGGTTGACCATTGGAGGAGATAATGCACTGGAACATACGACAAACAAACAGACAAGGGTAAGATGGTCCTTATGACTTTTAAAATATAAGGATTATGACTGGGTATATTGTAGCACACAATATTGTTTGGTTTGAAATGAGACAATGAGACGGGATCAGACATAGCTCAAACCCAATGAACCATGCAACAGGTGACATGGAGGATTGTGGGAAATGCAGTTTAAGTCACCTGAATTACCCTCACGATAAAATTTAAATCCGTAAGCCCATTTTACACAATACTGGATTTATTTTTTAATAAAATTCTACGAACAATGGAAAACGCACCACACCACTAAAATGGTTGGAATTACAAGTAATATACAACACAGGAAAAGGCATTTCTGTGACATATATACACATTGAGTTTATACAAAGTAAAAATCGAAGACAAACGAGCAAAACGGATGCATTTCCGTTACTGCAGCACATTTACATGAAAAAGCATGAGTGAATTTTAACAAATCAGGTTTATTACAATGTAAAAACAGCTATCAAGTACTAATGCAGACTCCTTAACTGAATACAAAATACCATAAGTACACAATATTTCTGTAATAATTTATGAAAATATAAGCCTGGCTCCTCAAGATAACAGGAGATGTTTCTTGTAGTACAGGTATGCTGTTTTAGTGCTTTCTATAACTACTTTATAAAAATCCATGCACATGTAAGGCCTGAAAATGCATGTGTGCAATGATCAACCAACATCAACTCATAGCACTTCTGAGTGTGTAATGCAGGGTACGGGACTGACCACATTCGTTTGCAAGCCAACAGTTTGCAAATCATTTTTCACAAGGTTTCAGAATTTAGAATTTGGGAATGGGGGGGGGGGGGCTTGACAGGCATCTTTGGCATCCAACCATCATGGATAAGGCTTAACAACTAATTCTTCCAATTATTGGCAAAAGTACAAAAAGAATGAATAGGCAATGAGATCCAAAGGCGAGAACTGTATAGCGGCAACACATTCATAGTGGCCACTGAACAAACAAGTAGTCTTTCGCCTGGCGGAACTGCCACTTTTCCAACTTTGCAGAGTCCGTCACCTCCAAAGGTTCCTTAAGAAAAACTGTGTTTAGAGGAGCCGAAGAGACACCTTCATTTTAAGGCCTTCACTTGAATATCAACGTAGTAACTAAATTAGGACACCATTGTTCATAGCCTTCTTAAAATTTACATAAACTTATTGAAGTGGGCCACAATGTGCAGATGACCTCCATAAATAAAGGCTGCAAATATCAATATATATTAATATATCCAAGAAAAGAAAGCAAAATGTCAACAGGCTGATTTGGGCTTTGAGTTCTACAGCTGTATTCCACTGGCTTCTTGTGTCCTGTCAAAGCAGCAGCAAAGGTATTCAGTTTCTGTATTGCAGATATCATCTGAAGCATTGCTTTGACACGCACGCTTGAGACACCTCCACGCAGCATGTACGAGACTGATGAAACTTCATACGAATACGGCAAATATGACCCGACAAGGTGCAAAACGGAACAAATCCAGCACCTTCCTACTGAAGATCTTGGAGACAAGGCTCAAATCAAACCAGAGCAGCCATGTTAAATCAGGGACAGCAATGTAGAATCCTTCACACTCCACCTGACCCAGCTTGATCCGTATCAAGGTTCATTTTGTAACATCCCAGTCTGCCGTGGATCACGTTGAATCCGGCACAACGGCTGCATGAATCGACTACAAACCTTTTAGAGGAGATCCCACAACCAGTTTGTTTTTTTCCTTTCACGCCGTTTCCAGTTTGACTCAAAGCTCAACCCCATCTCTTGTAATGATGCCTTGGCTACAATCCTTTCTATGGGAGGAGATGCCTCATGGCTATTTTCAGCTTCCAGTTTCTTAGCAAATGATTGCCTTTTATGGTCTATGATGCCGTTTGAATCCAGTATTTACAAAAAAAAAAAAAAACACACATTCCAAACACAGTTTTCACCATCTTTTCTATTTCCATAAGGAAGCACACAAGAGCCCCCCCACCCCATGATGGTATAAGGTTTAAGGTATTATGGTGTCCATGTGCACATTCGTAGACCACAGGAGCACGTGGGCACCCATGTCACCATATTAACACTGCTGTATTGATGCTGTGCTGTATATATTGCTCTTGGCCATCACATTGGGAGGGTGTATAACCCATATACCCTTACACAGGTAAGGTCTGTACTACAGCATACAAAGCAAAATGCATATTCCAACTTACTTCCCAAGTGACATTAAGCCTTTTGAGCTAAATGTACCCACACAATATCTGTGTTTCGGTAAGCACCAGACCACAGACAATTACCCTGACTAAAAAGTCACGTACTAAAATTTGCATGCATGGACATACACAACAGGCTCCATTATGAAATCAATACCAATGTTCAGATTATACAAATTGGTCCTTTAAATGGTTGCAGTCATCTCCGAAACCAGCAGAAATTAACCACAACCTTCCTCTTATTAGTATTGGGGAAGTGACAGTCTGAAGGGACAATATTGCAGGCAGTAAACAAGACGAGCGTCGCCCTCCAATCCTCATACACTGCGGAGGACAACAGCAGAGGAAGCACAAAAGGATCTTCTATGGTTAGGCCAATAGCATGACATGTTACATAGGTAGGACAAGCAGTCAACATAAGCAGGTGGTTTCAAAGACGACTTGGCAAACTGGCCAAAAGGGAATTAAAAAGTCACAGCTCATCATGGACAGTGTATTCAGCAACTGAACAAACATCAGGGTTGACAGTCATATACTTGTCTAAGCAAAAGTCAGACAGTGCCAGCACACTTTCCATGCATTAAAAAAAAAAGAAAAATAATGGAATAAAAACCTTGTCAGTTGCTTTGGTGTGCAGAATGTCAGAGCATGCAGAATTAGTCGCGGCACAGTTAAACTCACTTTCATTCGGTCATCCAATGATTTAAAGAACATCTCAAAAGGCTTTGCAAAAAACGAAACACAAAGATACCAACCCCCCCCCCCCCCCAAATGACCATAATTACCAAACACTAGATCAGTGTTTTTCAGCCGGGTCTTTGGGGACCCCCAGACTATACATTTTTTGCTCCCAGTACTCTGGCAGGAAGCTGGGGGAAGCAAAAACGTGAATCTGGGGGCCCCGGAGGACCGGGTTGAGAAACACTGATCTAAACTGCCCTTTCGTACAAAATAGTTGCTGAGCAGTAGAGTGCAGGTGCAGCAAAGATCTAGCATATACAAACCCAACATAATGGAAATGCAAGTGTATCAACTGATCTTTGAATATCTACTTTGTCAGATTTCCACCTGGAAAACATTATTTTATTTGCCCTGGGACCTATTTTATTAACTGACCAAATACTGAAAAGCACAACTCACAATCAGGCACTTAAATGCAATGTGACCCAGACTCCAATGAAATGGCAAATCTGTTCACTAACAAACGCTGTAACACCAGCTGTGTGCAGGACTTGAACAGTTTAAGTCAGCGTAGTAATACAGCACCTGCAACGTAGTTGAATTTCCTAGCAGCAAGGACCTATGGTCGTGAAGGACTGGTCAGACAAGCCAAAGCACTCAGCCCTAACAAATCCTCCACCCCAAAATTACCAGGCCAGCTTCTCCACTAAAGAGTGCTTAGCCCAAAAAAAAAGTTCAAAGGAATGAGGGAAAAGGGGAAAAAAATCCATTTTCTCACTTGGAGAGACACCCTTCTGTTTCACTGTAGGGAGAAAATGAAAGCTCTTAACACACTGAATATAATGCACGGTTTAGAAGATTTAAAACACAATTTACAGTATTACCGAAGACTATTGCGTTTAAATATGGAAAGGTCTCTCTCTACACTTGGGTATCACAACAGTAATAAGTAAGAGATTTAATCAATCAATTAAAGATACGGCATTTGAAAACACTGGTGGTTAAGAAGTAAGCAAGAAAACAGGTCTCACAAAAAAGACATTGGTCTCCAGGACAGTGTCTTGGCAAGAAACTACATCTGCACTGGCTTGGAACTCCTCTGGGATTGTCTCTTCAACCCTTAACCGAAAAGGAAAGTGACGACTAGTTAACTTCTATTCTTGATTTAAGCCCATGGATATTAAATGGCCATCCATCCATATTTAATTTTGTGTGTGTATTTAAAAATAATGTGCGCAGCCAGCTGCAGTTGCACACTCTCACCTGTGGGGGCTGCTGCAGTCCTGGTCTACACTGGGCGATTTGTGCACTTCGACTCCAACAGAGCTGTAGTGAGCGGGAAGGAGTTAGTGGACTGTGACCCAGGAAGACCCAGGGGAATTAAAGCTGGATCACACAGGAGGGGGAGGGACTGACCATAAGGGAGGGGAAGCTTCAGACGTCCTGGAGGCGGTCGTTTCTCCTATGCCGTCAGCTACACCATCTAAGGGAGACATTCTTGGCAGCAAGTCTGGACGGCCTGATTGCATGCCTGAATTTGGAAAACAGCAAAGTCGTATAAAGTGTGGGAAATTAAACTTCCTCTGGGGACCTCCGTGTGTGTGAAAGCACATTTGACTGAGCCTTATGTTAGAAGTTGTTGTGTAGCTCCTGTCCCAAGACTCCTCACTCTAGTACCTGGGCATTCATCGGAAGCTCAGCCCAGCTGCACTTATGTTTAGTTGACTCCTCAACAGCTCATACAGTACTGTGCAAGAGTCTTAGACACTCGAAGAAAATGCTGCTTAAACGATCTTGTTGACGAAAAACTATGATGTCTGTGAAAAGGCATCAGCTTGTTCATTGCTAAGCCTCTCATAAAACCACCACAGTATTTCCAGCAACCATCCAATACACCCATGTGTCTCTTGACTTGACCACTGGCACATCTCATACGGCTAATCAATACTTAATTAATTGAAAAAGTAAATGGAAGGAGCTGGTGGTGAAGTTTAACGGATACATGGAATGACTGAGGTGCCCCAGAGGAGAGGTTTGGGAACTGAAGCAGTGTTCATCTAGCCATCTGGCAAGATATCAGTTTTGGAGAACAGAAGATAGTCTTACTAGTTTGTCAGTTTTCATAGGTTCTAATGCTAAATTGTGTTTTTTGTTCTGAGCACAAATACACTTATTATCCAGATTACTCGCTTTAAACGTTTCCTTTTGCTGCCTAAGACTTTTGCACAATACTATGCATTTATAATGCTCTATTTTGCTCACTTGTACGTCACTTAGGACAAAAGCATCTGCTGAAGTAAATGTAACCTAACATATATACCTTTGCGGGTCATTAAAAATTAACAGTAGGCTACGAATACCATTCTTCTGGTCTTGTCGTCCGCAACTCACCACTTTCAACTTCGGACTCCATGTGACTCAGGTGGGAGCGGTAAACGATCCGGGAATCGATGCCTGATGTCGTGGCTCCATGCGACTGCTGGGAAGGCCCACAGGGTACCGTCTGAGTCCTCCGCAGGCCTGCCTGCCCTCCACAGCGGCTCTTCTTAGAAGGCGACGTTTTCACTGAGAGCAGCAAGGAAGGGGTGGATTTCGCTGTTATGACGCAAGACGACTGGCAAGGGGGCAAACATCAACAGGGATGCAGATGCACTTACGTGGGATCTTCTTAAAGACGCTACTGCACATGAAGCGCTGGAAACGGTCTGCGTAGAAACTCGGCCTGTGCACCGATACCGTGTCCTAAGGAGAATCACAGGCGTTCCATGCTCAGAGCTCGAAAGGGTCTTCCGGAAGCAGGCAACACACCCACATGCATCGAGAAGGATCTTACCCCATCGTGCACCAGTGCCTTCCACGAGTGCTCCAGTTTCTTGGTAAACCTGAGCAAGATTTTGAGAAAAACAAACCTTAGTCTTACCACTAAGAGGTTCTAGGTGAAACCCCACCCACGGTCACAAGACTAAGATGCGGACACCCACCGGTACGACTGCAGGATGTCGATGATGCCGATGTAGAGCAGCAACCGCTCATTCTTGCCATTGCGTACCGGAATCCCGCCCATCCTGCAATGATGGCAGTGTGGATCAATGAACGCAACGTGTGAAGCTTCCGGTGACTGATCGCTATGGCGACGACAGCCACTCACTGGTCCTCCGAGTCATGTGCCCCCTTGCCTCGCGCCTCTCCCTGAATGGACTCCATGGCAGTGCAATACAAGGACTTCTGGCCCGGTGGCCTTTTCTGATCTGAAGAAATCGCTCCTTCAGGACCGGCACCCTCGCCGGCTCGCTCCCGGTAGGCCTGGTCCACATTGTGGATGCCCATCAGCAGACTGTAGTCCATGATCTTGAAGCTCTGCAGCAGCTGAAGAACAGAGACAGGACATTAAGGGTCAGAGAAAATAGAAAGAGACCAATGGAGTTTTCAGTTTCAGATGAGGGTTCTGTGAGTAATTCCCCACAAAGACCACAAACTCCCACAAGCACAGGACATGGCCAACAGACACACACCAGGCAGTCCCTCTGGATGGTCTTGCACAGGGCATTGTAGGTGTCCTGTTCTAGCAGGAGTCCTTCAGACATGTCCTGCATGAAGTCCAGGTCTTTGAAGGTGGGCACGGCCTTCTCGCGCTCCTTGGGCGAGGCACGCCGCTTGTAAGTGGAGCCTTTCAGGTCATACTTGAGGTGCATGTGCACAGCAGATGGCAGCAGGTTGTTCATCACCACGATGCGGATGTTCTTGCCACCCGCCTGGACGCAGTACAGCCCGTAGAACTTGGGCAACAGCGTGCGCTTGTTCTGGTTCAGGTTCTGTAGGGTTGGGAAGGGGCCAGGACAAGATATAGTGAGCATGGGTCAGGCCTCCTGAAGACAAGTAAGTGCATGACCTCCAGATCTACTGGTAGATCTCTTAGACAAATGCTGGCTGATCGTGTAATACACAGGAACACCACCACATTATGCAAAGTACACGAACTCGTCGAACTGTACAAGGAGCAGCGGAAGACCATGGAGCGTGAGCAGGAGCACTGGGAGGAGGAAGAGGAAGTGGGGGATTGGGGGAAAATAAATTAAATGATGAAAGACATTTGTGCTAAGTGGACTGAAGCGCAGAGTTTTGTGGAACTGTATCGCCCCAACCAAGCTGAAGCGAATCAAATTCGTGACCAAGTGAACATAAAAGTGATGTCATATTTTAGAAATATTCTACAGCGCAGAAAAAGGCAAGTCTCAATTGACAGATTTTCAGTGAAACTGTCAAAGTAAGAGGCCACGAACAAACCCGAGGTTACACTCAAACAGGCAACAGACGAACCACAGGCGATCAACGAACCAAAGGCCAAGCGAGCAAGGAGAGAGAGCACTCCTGAAGTTTCCCACTGTTCTAATGGAAGGAGACTCTCCTTCCAAACAGTAGTCCCCCAACCCCCACCCTTCCTCTCTTCCATTCCTTCACACCCGAACTCCTCCTTACAAAAATAAGCAAAGTATGAACTTTATTTTGCACTACTGTACACTGTTTTTTTACTTTAGTTATGTTTCTTTTATTATTAATGCTTTTATTCTTTATTATTAATGATTTTACTATAAAAACCAGAAAATTAATTAACAAAAATTATTATTTGGTAGGCTTGTGAACGGATTAATCGAATTTCAATGCTTTCTTATGGGAAAAATTGCCTTGGTTTGCTTGTACGCAATTTGTACATTGGTTCACGACCACTTTCCTGGAACGGATTGTGTTCGTGAACCGCAAGCACAACTGTATTTTCCCACCATTAAACCTTCCCCATCATGCTACCATATACATGACTATGTACATACCCCATTCCCCCTAGTGAAAGGCTCTCACTTTGTGTCCTACTCTTTGATTCCACATTTCACATAGTTCCATAAAATCAGTTGACAATGTCTGGTGACCCTTTCAAACAGCAGGGGGGAGGAACACATGGTACCCCACCAGGCCTACACATGCTATGATCTAGTTTAGTCTAGAAGTTAATCACATCAAAGGCTAAGTTGCTCATGAAGTAATCCAATTAATCCTTTCAAAACATAACTTGGCGCATTATTAACTGGAAACTTTAAGCTCTGTAGATGCACGGCAACAAATCATTCCTGGTTTCATAAACTGATCTCCACGCAGCCTCTGTTAAACAACCCACTCACTAAAGGCCTCTATGCCAGGCACAACTTTGATAGACATTACTTACTAAATGCACACAAAATGAAAACGGCATGTCACTTTCTAAAGCTTCTCTCCTTCGCTCACCATGAAGTATCCAGGCAGTAGTTTCTGCAAAAACTCTGCCTCTTTGTGCTGCACAGTCTTGATGATGAATTCGTCGTCACTGGAGACGTAGAAGAGGGAGCCGCTCGCGCCAGAATTAGAGAGCTCAATCAGGGGGTCGTTACACAGGGAATACTGTTACCAAAGCAAAAAGAAAACAAAAATCAAAAATTAAAAATAAACACGCTGACAGACAGCACCAAAGACAGACAGCGCCAGGTGGGGAGGACTGACCAGGTAGTCATCTGGCCGTATACCGAAGAGTTCCCGAAAGTAGCGGAAGGCGATAGGGGCGTAGGTCTTGAACCGGAAATCGCTGTAATGGTGGGCTGGGGTCAGGTTACTCCCTTCACTGAAAATAGCAGAGAGCATTAATGAGCCGTGCTAATATACATGTTCCACGTGCAGATTTGGACAAGCCACAGAAACCCAAGTAGACAGACAAGCACAAGTGCGCGTGCAAGCACTGGGAGAGCCGAGGGAGCGTAACGGAGACGATTCTCGGCCCACGAGCGGCATCCACCTTCCATCCAGCCATTTTTTCCCCACCAACCTGGGGAAGAAGATGCTCTCTACCACCACAAAGTCCTGCATGAGGACATCCCTCTCAGCCTTCTGACTCAGGCTGCCCACGGTGTGCGCGATGCCCAACTGGATGGCACCTTTGAGGGCACTGGAGGTCGTCTAGGAAGACATGAGAGGACATACACATGAACATCAGAATTAGAATTTAGTGATTAATTGTCATTGTTGACATACCACAGCACACAACAACAAAATGCGTCCTCTGCATTTAACCCATATGTGACAATGTGACATAGCAGGGGGCAGCTAATTCAGTGCCCGGGGGCGGTACCTTGCTGGTTGGGGATTCGAACCTACAATCGTTCAATTACAAGTACGCTTCCCTAACCATTAAGCCACATACAGGATTTTAATTTATCGCATATGCCAGGCATAGGAATGGACTGGGGAACCGCCGCTTTATATGATAAAAAAATACTTGACTGCTATTGTTAAAAACAACAACCACAGTAAATAAATGCCAACACAGCATCATGTGCTCAGAGTACCATTTAGGAACCATGTGACTTCTAGGGTAGATATGTTCTGTGTTCAGAGAAGTCTGCATGTCAACGTTATACTGAGCTGTTATTACGACACTTGTGGCCTTCCTGTTAGCTGCAATGAGTCTGGCCATTCGGCTCTGACCTCACTTATTAACAAGGCACGGAGAACTGCTCACAGGATGGTTTTTGTTCGTAACTTAGATTAGATTAACTTCATTGATTCCAGGAGAGAAATTCTTGAATAAAACCACTTTCTGTAAATACTAGACATGACGGGACATAAAAATCCCAGAAGGGAGGAACCAACAACCACACAACATTTAAAATTGCTTGAATAAGAGGTCCTGACCATTCTAATGCTTAACCTTTCAGCAAATAACCCTCTTGACCCCCATGAAACCTAATAATACATATTTAGGTATATGCACGGTTAAAAGGAAACACGGCTCTCTCACCCTGCTAGTCAAAAGGGACCCATTAACCCCGAACAAGTGTGAACAACAGAATGAACGGGACAAATACATCTTAAGGTTCCTCAAAACAGCACATCATATGGAACTGGGTGACTGAAGGGTGTCTCAAGTGATAAAATTAAAATGCTACGCAAGAGGATAGTATGTAGTGCAAAAAGGAATAGAACAGTGCTTATTTAAGTTTCATGGAGGGGGGGCGGGGAGGAAATCGAGATTATCCATGTGTTTTACACCAATTCGCAGTGGATGGCATTGGTATTGGACAAGGGGAGTTCATGCAATGAGCATGAGATGAAGGATAATGAGGGTTTAGTAGCCATTTCCAACTGCAGGGGGCAGTTCAGAGAACTAGCTGAAGGACAGATGGAAAAACAAAGATAGATAACTGGCATCATCCAAGAGGGACTAGCTGAAGATGGAGGTGCTGGGACAAGAGCCACTAGAGATGGAGCAATTGAGGTGAGACAAACCCTTGATAAGCATCTGCACATACCATGGAAGGCAATAAGTTGTCTAAAGGTTTCGATAAGGTGCATCGAGTAGAAGCATGTAGAAGCCGAGGATCAGGAATGCACTGCAATCACTTATTTACTCAAGTGAGGAAGAACACATACATGCCACAGCTATTTGCATAACTGCATAATAAGTTACTTGGATAACTGGACAAACTATTTCATTCCTCTTTATTCAAAGCGCAAGACATCGCCTCTACTGCTTAATGACGAGCTTATGCACCATGAACGGAGAACTAGTCTTCTGACTGCTGCAAAATTTCCCCATCTGGGAAAAGGCCTACCAGCAAGGAGGGAGCTGCACTAAACCGCCAACTGCTCCAAATGTTTCAAAATCAAAATGAATATTTGGATGCTGATCAGCACCACAGCAATGCTTTTCATTTTGCATCCTTTTTAAAAATGCTTCTTTAAATGGATTTTGTTTGGATGGTTGCCATTGCATACCACATGCAAGTATGACGACCTTTAGACCAATGCTGACCTTCTTGTAGGTGGTCTCTCCTGTGGGGTCAACCCCTCTGTGACCAATGGTCTTCTTCATGCTCTGGGAGCTGCCTGGCATCTGAAAACAAAAGGGAGATACAAGGAGATGCTGAACTACTAACCAAAAAAAAGTACCTGGTAGAATGGGAGCATATGTGATGTTATCCATCTCAATGTACCTCCAACTTGAGAATCACGAGACACACATTTAAGCATTTTTGTTAATTTCCATTTAAATCCTAGTCCTCACATACCTATTTTTACAGAAATGTGAAACCAGGACTGGAGTTAGACACTGAACCCTCTAGATACTTCCATGTAACAAGGCTAATTATTTAAGTGCATTTCTGTTGGAAGTGCTAAATATGGTCCAATCGCAGTCTCAGGGCAACAAACTATTTCTGTATTTGCTTAAGGGCAATTTAGCAAGTTCTCCTAATAACTTCCATTAGAACTAAAACTGCCTTTTAAATTACTACAACACACCAGATTCCACTGCCTTTTACTGCAGAAATGTATTATATAGTTCTCCAATTTGATTATATTACAAGAAGCACAATAAACCATAATGATTAGTTAACCTTTGCACTTATCAAAATTCACTTATATTCATAAGAAAGCCCTTACTCGACACTAACCAAAAAATTAACCAAAAGCCTTTAAATGCTGTCTATCAACTAAATCACCATACAATTCCCAAAAGCAGCCAAGTATTTCATTGTTTTGGAAACCGCACAAATTTTATAACATTCCCCATAAGACACTTAGTTGATCAAATAATTCTTCCCACATCAGCATCAAGGTCATCCTTTAGTAATTTATTAAAATTTCTATTATTTACATCACATTAAACAAATACAAAATTAGCAAAACCCTACATAACCCAATGGGAATTTCTTTCATATAAGACAGAAAGGGACAAATCAGTGATTAAAAAAAAAGTACATTTCACTACTTACATCTGAAGATCCCTTTTGACTACCACCGGACACTGTGGAAAGACAAGAATATTGGTCAAATTGCACATCTCCCCAACTTTCTCACACTGCAGCTGTGGCTTCAGGAAAGGCAAAGTTAAGCTTCTGGATGTTCCCAGCAATGATTCATTATCTTTATTTAAATTGTGCTTGTAATCCTATTTGTATATCCATAACTAAGCACTACTCAATTTCCAAACTCCCAGAAGCACTAATATTAACACAAACATAATAAATATAGAGCTAACCCTAGACTTTAAAATGCTGGTGCATTACATAATCTATACCTGTAAACAAAAAAAAATTGCTGACATGCAATGACAAATACCATTTCCACTGGGGAACCAGTATTAGTGGATTAAAAACAAGCTGAGCACTCTAATTAGACTGTATTACATTCGTTCTTATGTCCCAGCGATATTCATATTGCACAAGCTTACGTCAACCCATTTTCCCCACATTTAAGCAAGGGATTATAAACCAAATACAGGTGTCAAAACAACAGTTACAATACCTATGACATTCAAGAAGCAGAACTGTGTAGAATTATGCTATGTGAATGAGATGACTAAACCAGTACAGAAAGTGGGACGGGCCGCCCAGAAAGGAAGTCAGGTTCCCTCCCAAAAGGCGAGCCTATCCTGGCTGGATGGAGAACAGCCCTGTGGTTGACCCACACACTCACAGCACTTCATGGTTCTCCTAGCTCAGTCTTGCCAAGAACATATCAAGCAAAACACTTCAACCAATATTACTGTATGCAAGATTTACTATCTGTGCATCTGCCCAGAAGCGTAAAGGGCGATTCCTGCCTATAAATACAGAACGGCATCTATATAGAAAGCAGAGCAGTCAAACTTAGCATGGGGATCACAACTAGCACATCTGTCAACATTTATCCCAAGAAAAGCTCTTGACTAGACACTGACTGTGACAGAAATCATTTCAAAGGGTAAGGGAGGAGGCATAAGTGAACATTTCATCTACAAACAAAATCAGCCTCCACGCAATGGTAAACCTGTCCTGTAACATGGGTGTGCCAGACCAACTGGAAGGAATGCAACAGTCCGATTATAACAAGAGCACTTCAAAACAAACAGGATAGAGCAAACAACAAGCCCAGAGTCACCACTGACCCAGACGGGGAGAGGAAGGGATTCAGCAAATGCAAAACCAAGCGAAACAAAGGCAAAATGCATTGTAAAAAGGTGTTATTCAAAATGTATAGTGTTGCACTATAAGCATACTAAGGCAGCAGCACCATGCAAGTACCTCCACAAGCTATTCTTCTCCAGAAAGGAAGATTCAGCTCTGTAGAACAAGATATGTTACACAGAGGATACGGCGGATTTAACACATTTATGAGCGTTCACGATATTTCGGCGAAGAAACTCAATTTTGTAACACTACACAGTATTAATGAAAGGAGTTACGAGATGTCTAATTCGGGTGCCAAGCGGTATTCCACGTAACGCGTTTCTTCCCCTGATAGTGCTCAACAGAACAAAACAAAAAAAAGTCTTAAACGATATTAGGTCACACATTTATTATTGGAAATAATTTACGTAATCTATTTAATTCTGCGGGTGTCAGACCAACAGATTCCACTGTATTTCTATCTGACAGTGTTGAAGGGTGGGGTTTGTGCCATTTTGTCGATTTTTTTTAATAGAGTGGGGGTCCATCAAACATCACTAGATGAGAGTCCCAGTATGTCGAGCTGACATTTTTGCGGGCCCGCATTCAGACATTCCCTGGTACGACCGTCGGAAACGTCAAAAAAAACGTTTAAGGCCCATACTCCTTACCTCAAACCTACCTGGACAGAGACACTGTCAGAATACCACACAAGACAAGTCTCCCCCTTGATTAATTTATTTCAGTAATGATAAATGCATCCGCACATTGACACGCTACAGTCCGGCTCTTATTGTCGCCGATTTCCGTGCTTCGGGGCACTAATGCACTATGATCACTCGACACATGATTTCGAAGATCAGGAGGGAGAAGTGTGCTAGCTGTCGATTTTATTTTATTTTTTACAAAAAGCGAAGTACAACCGCGGTGAATTTCACTTTAAAACAGGCTGATATTACGAACTCGATCCCTTTCTGTGGCTAGCACGCACGCCGAAAAGCATACTCGCTGACGGACGCCTTTTGTCTCGCCGCCACGCCATTCATTTCGCCCTCAGAGCAGCCAAAGTTTCCTCAAGCCGGGACACGGGAAGAACAACACTGGTGTTTATATAAAAAAACAACATATACACAAGACCACTTCTTTAAGCCACGCATTAGTTAACCAGCTAATTTTCTATCGACCAAAGGCTGGTGCCGCGGGTGGCGAGAATCGGAGGGACCGTCGAAAGCGAAAGCAGCTTCGCCATGTAAGTTCATCCAAGAAAGGGGACACGTCGCCTTGTCCAGCAGATAGCCGACACCTGACGGGGCAGTCAGAGCCAAACGGCGGAGAATTGAAATATACATCCAAAGGGGAAAATAAACTGGAAACGCGACTGTTTCTCACAACTTCCCGTACATTGTCTGACAGCAAACGACGCTATGCTCCCCTAAAAAGAAGCACACACAGCGCCTCGCCCTTTATAACTATATTTCCTCGCCGCAATTATTATGGAAACAAATGTTACCACTGAATTACCACACATAGGATATTTATCTCGTAAAATGCCTCTTTTTGGATTCAGTCCGTCACAAGTTATTAGCTAGCTACCGTATCTCCCCGGCGCGTATGATCCCACCCGGCTACCACAGTACCGTCACGGCCACTCGCACCACTACAATAAGCTTCGAAAAACCCACAACGACCCATAAAGGCTAGCATCTGCTCGGTGAAAAATGACAAAGTTCGGATCTAACTACCTGTAGGAGCCGTCGAGCCCGGATCAGCTGGACCGGCGGTCGCCATTTTGGTTCTTGCCCTCAGCGTCGATGTGTGTTTTTTCCTGCACCGCGCCTTGCTGGATCCCGCTCCGGCTGCGGCATGCCAGCCCACCCCGTCCGGGGAGGTTAACCCGTTCGGCCACCGCTTTCTCTCCTCAAAGACGGAAACAACACGTGCGACGGAGTGGAAACAGAACCAGGGCAAACTGAAGGAACAACCCAAACGCATATATACACTAAAAAAATAGTGAAACGGAAGTATGACTTAAGATTCCATGTGAAATCGTTCAAAGAGAGTTAACACGAACAATGTGGCTAGAGAATAATGTGCAATAAAACAACTTAGGGGATGGTGAGGAAACTGTATCGTTTACTTGGAAATGTAGGCTTGGTTTATTCTCTAGAAGAGTTAGAATCTCGAAAATAAAACACCCTGTATATTGCTTGTCAACAATAGATACCTCAAAACCGGATGAGTACCAAGTGGTACTCTATCACACCTTGAAACAATTCAACTTTAACCACATATTCTTATAATTAGCAATCAAATGTCATATTTCAATTTAAAGTCAAAAGATCCTATCCAGAGTGTCATTTGTGCTCTATATTGCTTGGGTTAGGTCCCCAAGCGACCCTTATCAGGATTAATATTAGCTCTTTGCCCTGCTTGCATTGTCTGCCTGTTCACTGTAACACCCTCCGTCATTTTTATAAACTATCGAAACACTACATTTTCTCCACCATTACTTGACAGTTACAGCGTTACCATGTAATATTTGATAAGTATTATTATTGTTGTCGTTGTTGCTGTTGTTGTCATAAGCGGGGGGGGGGGGGGCGGAAGTCCATTAACTCATATAGTGCTACGAAGCGAATGACAGACTCCTGCGCGTGAGGAAAGTCCATTCAAAACAAACAAATCAAAAGCAAGCTCATGACGTCATATTTTTACGAGACGGCAGTGCACGCAATCTCTCTCTCTCTCCCCCTCTCTTAGCAGATGGCGTGTCGCAGGTCATATTGGTCAATAGTCGTAATTTATGCAATAATCACTTTTGTTGTTTTTAACAGTAGCGGTTGGATATACCTTAATAAACGACCTAACGTCTTAGAGTGTTTGTATCAGAAAACAACGAAACGCGCTAGCTAAAATGTCTTAACACAAGAAATCAAAGAAACATGTTTGTCAACGGTTATCCATATCGCTGATTACTTTAATCATCTGTGTGTGTGTATATATATATATATATATATATATATATATTTTTGTGGTAAGCGAGTCAAGTGCTTCAAGGTAATGGAGGTTTAGGGTTCATGTATTTCTGACGATAACTTTATTTCTTAATCATATCTTAGTTTTTGCAATCGATTTTCTAGTCTAAAATATTAGAAGCATGTGAAATATGAAGCCTATGAGTACTTTATGCTACTGTGACTTTGACAATAGGAGCCTTCTCAGGCAAAGAACTTAACATTTCTAGACAGTGAATGCAAGGCATCTTAGCTAAGACGAGTTCGACAACATTTGATGTAAATAGATGACGACTTGACATAAATTTAATTTGAAACAAGATGACAGTACTAACATTCCTTATAACGGTTGGTGTTGCCCGCGAGCAATTACTCAAACAGCAAAATCTCTTCTGCCATTCGGCACATGGAAAGAAACTCATGCTACGTCCTTCGTATTTCACGTTTACGTTATAAAAATGTGTCTAATTTCCAGGGCTCGAGTAGTCAAGGGATGCACGTGGATGTCATCCCTCCTTAGGGAAAATATTCCATTTACATTTGTCCAAAGCAACGTCCTCCATCCCCCATCATCATCCAGCTAAATTGTTCTACATATTTCAATCACGTAAACGTAAATCTATACTGATGGTAGGGCGCATACCAATCAGAAATACAGCTTAATCCGGACCACGCGATTGCCTCTCCCCTCACCCACAGTATTATACATTACAAACCTCTGTGCCCCCCCCCCTACATGATTAACTGTCCCAAAGGTTGTCCTTTCCAGTAGAGGAAATGGGCTGCAGTGCTGTAAAGGGTGTCTCTATATGTGTTAGAATGTGGGGAATTGTCCTAATAGATGTCTTTCCAGTGGATAAAATGTGATGCAGTGCTGCAATAGGTGGCCTTTTAATTTTTTCGCCCCTGCCCTTCAAACAGCCTGAGTCCAGTACTGCTGTCATGGTAATTTAGTAGCACTGATACAAAGTAATATTTCTGATAAAACAAGATAAAACAGACAGGAAATCTGCAAAATATGAGCTTATAGTTTTTCAGGAAAGTCAATTCATTCAATTTCCTGTTTGATCCAGTTTGGTCTTCCAAGTTATGGCATCCTCTTTGTGACGATTTCATCATGCACACACACAATGACATAGCTGACTGAAGAATTAAAAAAATACATGTAATGTGTTCGACGTATTGTGGATTTAATGCAATAAATCCAGATCACTGCACATTTCTGCATTTATTATAACACTCACGCAAATGCTAGTGTAAGGGAAAAAATTAGACAACTTTTGAATAATTTATGAAAACACATCCATTTATTTCCATGCGTGAAACTACAAGATGTCTTTACATGCTGTTTATATGAGAGTTAAAATTGATTAGTGAGAAATATAAATTACTAAAATAAGAGTCAGTCCAATAATACTGATTCTTGGAAGAGGAAATAGAAGCATCTGTTACAGGACTCTTGGTGACATAGTGACTGCTTCCTTAGCTAGTACATTTAACCCTCTGAAAGACTTTTGTTCCCAAATTCAGAATCAAATGTTATTCTCACCTAATGATAAATTGCAGTGAAATGTGACTCAGTCAGTAGGACATTTCCTGCTCCGGTACGCTGGGGTTTCAACTGCTTTTCTGATGGCTTTCAGCAGTTGCTCAGTCAGACAGTTGGGGGCGCTGCGAGACGGGGGCTGCAGGCAGCATTCTGGATGAAGGCCTGAAGACAATGCCTCCTTTGCAGTACACATTTCATCCAGCATGGAATCCAGCTGTATAAGAAATCCACATCCACTAAAACACTCTATAATCCATATTCAGCAAGATATTTACTCAGATACAGTTTTACAAACTACTACAGCTAATATTATTCTTAGATTTGTACAAGTAGTAACATCTTGTGACTATACAAAATGGACATATCAGTAATACTGGTACCACAAGGATTTCACCAAACTTAATTTCTTTATAAACATTTCTAGTTGTACTGCAGGTAGCCGGATCAAACGCTACTCACCCGGTTGCCCACGCAAGTCATTCCCTCATATCCCAGCAGATGGCAGCACTCAGTCACGATACTTTCAATTGGAAACGCCACAGGGAATCTGTCACAAAAGGCATGCTTTTTAACGCTTAAAAAGTGTTTTTTGTTATTTTGAAAATTTCCTAAAACGTGTACAGCATTGATATGTTTTTTACTCTGTATTTCTGATATTTGAAACTGAATTCCATAGTAAGATCAATAGTGTTCAGTGCTTTGTAATTTTTTTTCTTAGCAGCGAAAAACAAAAACATACAGGGTCGGTTTCATAAACACACCAGACAAACAAAAATACTGGCATGAGAACAACTTAATTCCAACCTTTCAATTAATGTAAACAATAGAGTGAGCTTTCATAAAAAAAAAAACAACAAAAAAACAATTAAAATCCCTTGGCCAATTACTGTTTTAGGGACCCAGTCCTGAGAAGCACTGATTGGACAGTGGGGTAGACGACTTGCATTGTCACTTGCACAGTCACCATGAACCTGATTCGTTATGGCTTCCCAAATGTCATTCAACAAGACCACAGATTCCGTCACATGCTTTTAAAAACCATCCTTACTTCTTGACGATCAGTGCGTGAGTGTCGCAGAACCGGAAAGGTACGCCACTGCTTTCGAAGATTTCTTCGGAGCGGAGAGGCCTCTGCATTATCATGTAGTCTGGATTGCGGGCGCGGCGAGAGAAGCAGGCATAGCGCTCCTCCGGCTCTGGGAGCTGGCAGCAGGGGTCCTGGCCTTTATTCACGGACTGCTCCTCCTTACAAAACCAGTCCATCGCATCCTGCCACTGGAAGAGGGGAGGGGGCACAACTGACTTAGCAAGAGTTCAACTCTATATACAGCTAAGGCTGGTTTTGACGCAGAATAACTTCTCATTTAACCGATGACATTCTACAGGAAATTATCCAGATTCTGTCTGGTAAACAGCATTGTTTTGCCCTTCAAAACAAAATGTTGATTTATTCTCCTTTAGGCAGTAAAATGATACAGGAGTATGAACAAGAATCAAAGAATCTAATCGTGGGTGTGAACTTGTTCTTGCTGTTTAGGCAACATCTCATGCATGTTTACAAGGGCATTTTTCACACTTTTATTGTGTATTTGGGCAATAAAAGTTAAAAGTCAATTCTAACCTTCAAACAATGGGATATGAATGACTTTGTATTTTAAAGTTTCTGAAAACACTTAGGGAAGTAAATTCAGGAGAACATCCTTATTGGCTCCCCTGATAAGACGTTATAAGAAATCGTTGTACAGCAGTATGGAGAACAACAAAAAGCATGTTAAAACATTCTCATAATGTGGTCTACAAAACTTTACTGGTGAGAGCCGACATCAAAATCATATGAGAAGAAAACATGTTTTGTCTCTTACATGCAGTTTCTTTTACATTAAGAGTTGATTAATTCTTAATTTAGAATGTGACACAGAGGAAATCACTGCAACATTGTGCCATGTTCCACTATACGAGTTATATTATTTTTCATAAACTGTTTTTCAAAGACCCTTTTGTCCCCTACATCTGTTGTGAGCATTAGTCAGAAGTTGCCTTAAACAACAGAAAACATGTGCCTTCCATATTCAGGGTGGCTTTCATCACACGCAACAACAATAATACCCATCTGTTCTATAAAAACAACCACACAGCTTTTATTTCACTGGCACGAACGACACTTACCTTTTTTTCCACACAAACCAGTGCTTTCCTCTCTGCCTTGCAACACCTGTGTATCCCCGTCTCCAGCTGGTTGATCACCTTGAACTGCCGAGCTAGCCAGCCATAGCCGTCGCTCGGTAGGCATTTAAGGGGGTAGAGGGGGCGCTCTGCTTGAAAGCCGCAGATCGCATCAATGTTCTCGGAATTGGGCCGGCCAGGTGGGAATTCGATGTCAGGCACTTCATAGCTTTTGTCCCTCTCCTGCAAACTCCCGGAAGCATTGCTGGGTGGGAACATGAGCCAATGTATGATTGAGCAGGCACTTTCAGATGTAGCCCTACAGCTCCTGCCCTTCCTCCCTTACGCCATCATCTCCTCTACCTCAACCTTTTCCCTCCATCTGTCTCTCTGTTTACCTCGGGCAGATGCTACGGTTAAAGATGAATCCAGGTACTTGGGGTGCTGGTTTATTGGATGTAGTGCCCTGGGTTAAGGTGGTGGGGTTGGGGGCAGCCTTCTCAAAACAGTGCCACCTGGAATACCCTCGCTTCAAGCAGCAGTGGTAGTGGCTGGTCTTGATGGAGAACTCCTCATCACAGAACGTAGAGAGAGCACTCTCCCACTGTGGGAACAACCAGAAAATAGCTTTTGTGACTATATGCATACAACCATATACATACAAGCAAAATGCCTACAGATTAAAGAAATGGCAAAGGGTTAGATCTAGTGCTACCTGTCATTATATGAAATTATATGGTTTACTTAAACTGCTCAACTGACAGTGCTATCTGAGATGGCCCACAGTATTCCCCATTACATATTAACACAGGTGGATTGCTATTATTTACATCCTGAGGAGCCGTTGTGACTACAAAAATGGCTCCTCAAACAACTAATTTGTAGTGTAAATGATTGAAAAAGTAATTAAGACCTCCAAGGGACCCTGTCAAGGTGGCATCTTGATAAATTGAGTTGTGGGGAATCGTAATGTTGTTTTAATATCACAGTTTATAATAAGTAAAAAATACAGTATGTCACCAAACACAATATATAGATTTAAAATAATGAGGCTTAATCCCATAAAATTACTCAAGATTTTACTTATGACGAGTCAAACCGAGTCACTACGCTTTGGCTAATTCTCCAGTTCTCACACTGAAGCCCAATGCTAATAGTGACTGATTTCAATGCCTCTGTGCAGGACATGTAGCTGCCTAAAACGAACTTAATACCACGTGGAGATTGACTCACAGCCTGCAGCGCACAGCAGAGAGTGAGCGTGCTCTCCTGAGTCTCGTTCTCTTGGCAACAGCCACTGTACCAGGACTCCACGCGGTTGATTGTGTCTGCCTGCCGAATCTGGCTGCCAAAGCCGGAACTTGGGAAAGACTGGTGTGTGTAGCGGGGGCGGGAATCAACGTAGCTACACAGAAAGGGGAGGTTGTCCAAAGATGGCCTTGCTGGGGGAAAGGACAGTTCAGGTATCCGTACGCTCTGATGTCCAGTCAACGTGGGGCCTGGAACAGAGCAGTGGGAGATGTGGGAAAGGGAAAGGAACGGGAACAATGCACGAGGAGTACAGGGGTCGTAACAGATCTTACAGACAAGTCGTACTTACAGACAAGTCGTACTTACGGGCAAGTCGTACTTACGGGCAAGTCGTACTTACGGATGAACTGCCATAAAAGTTTACTATTTTAAAAATGAGTTAATTTAAGTCATACAATGGTTCATAATCAGGAATGCATGCACTACTTTGTGACACTCCTGAAAAGGTTGCATGATTTCAGGGGAAGGCCTACCCTACTGTACCGTACAGTAAATCTATATTATGTACTAAGACAAACCTTTGATTAACTGATGCTAAATAAGAACTGTATATTCCAGTTCCAACTTACTAAGACAGACTTAGGGAAAGGATCTTGTTACACGGGGGACTGCCTACATAGTTCATTAAATTAAATGTCTCCTCCCAGGACATTAGCCTTGTTCAGGGGTCTGTGTGGCAGTGAGCCATGTCGTCTTGTCCTGGTCGACCCTCCATTGGCAAACAGGTCTGTGTGGGGAAGCCAGACGAACTACCACCCAGACCAGACCGGAAATACCAGTGTAACCTGTCTGGAATAAGGTCAGCGATACGCACCCCTGATACTTGGCCACTCACCCACCCCACCCAGACACAGCCAGAATTACTCAGACTTCGGTAACCAAAAACAATGAAGACAACTAATGATTGACCTGGAAATTCCTGTGAACTTGTAATCCAAACATTCCGGCCCCTTTTCTCCCAAAGCTTAAAAATACTCACTGCTCTCTTCCCTGGCAAAGACATCTGGCTCACTTTCAGAAGTCTCTACGAAAACGAACAAATACGGCATTAAATGGGATTAAAAACTGCACGCAGTGCATCCCAGCCCTAAAACAGGGTGATTCACCTACCTATGTCAGAATCCGGAGCACTGAACCCTAAGTATGAAACATATAGAAGAACATTTTCATATGACACAGCAAGGAAACATTACTGAAGCATTAAAGCTTTTATCCTTATCATTGGTAAATAAATATAACCAGAAGAGCAATTCAACACAGAACAAATTCATTAGACAATCTAGTTTTAGCATAACCTTTGTACAATTTTTTTTAGTAAGAACACTAACCATTTAGAAATCGGGAAAGGTCAAAGGGCACCTGTCGCTGGAGAAAGGGGGAATCATCTGCAATATACACATAGGCATATATTATATATATACATGTACATACGATACATACATAATGGAAAAATAATTCTATTACTAGTTGTAGATAAACGATATGCGTTATTTGCGCGTATTAGCGAAACTACGCAGTATGTTAAATATCTGAGATAGATAAGTGGACGAACGTCGGGATTACAAGCAAAGAAAGGCGACTGGAATGCGTATGAGGACTGCTGCGGGAGGGGGGGCTCTGTATAAGCGGTGCACAGCTTACCTTCCGACGCCATGCACACCAGCAACGGGGCAGTCATTGTCAGCCAGATTCTCAAAACTCCACACCAGCCCATCGCTCTCCGTCAAAATGCGTGACGAGGCTACGATGGATACACTGAGAGGCAAAGTTATCTGGAGACCGACTCCGCTGTTTTGTTCCCGCTGCAGCTCAATTTTAATCGGCTGATAAGCAGGAAACTTCTCGCAGGTCCGGGTTACCGACCAGCGTACCAATCTATGTTTGAAAACAGGGGTATATATACTTCTGTTAAGGAAGCGCGCTCTCAGGGAAGGGGTTGACGCATACTGATAAAAAAAATGCGAGAAAAGGGGGAAGGAGGAGACAAGAAAACTGGGAAAGAAAACACACTTCACAAACTGAGTCATCCAGTGAAACTGTTAAGAAGTAGGCCTACCAGTCTAAAGGCGGGGCATAGCAAAGGGAACGACGATCCAGTAAAACGGATGTTTATGTTTGTTTAGAAACAGAATTCAAGGGGAAAACGGGAAATGAAGCGACCAGGGGGGCTCAATACCAAACACAGCAAAATGAGAATGAACTAAAAGAACCACAAAATAACATAACTAGGGAACAGAGAAAAAACAGAGAGCAAGATTGGAAAATAACCATAGATACAGACACCCAGTAACAACTATGAACACAAAGGTATATAGAGAATAACCACCAGAACTACAACTAACCGGTTACCAACTCCGATGACTAACTAAGGAAATGAACAAAGGGGCAGGTGTGGACCTTAACAGAATGTAAGGAAAAGTAGTAAAGATGCCCCAATGTTCTGGGTTGATCATTTGAATACAGACAGTGTTAGCAATTCATAATCATGGGGGAAGCCAGGGAGAGAAAGGGGGTTCCAGTCAGTATCACTAGGGTGATAAGGAAGTAACTGAATTAAAATCATCAGAAAGTCTCCATTCTGTCCTGCCCCACCCCCACCCCAGTCTCCTCACAGGCCAGGGGGTCACTCTTTATATGTAAATTCACTCACAAACACCTACACACAGCACCTTGCTGGGGAGGGTCATTTGGGGTATAAAGGGGGGTGAAAACTGCCCTTAATTTGTATTTGAGCTGCCTTTCAGTACCCGGTGTATGTCTGTATTACATTATATTATTTTTACTGGTCAATAAACCACCGTTTTGCTGAAACTGTGGAGACACTGCAAGCGGATTCCTTAGAAAAATCAACCAATCAATGAAAGTGTGCAGGACAACAAGCAACAGGTGGAACTGGGAAACTTTGACAATCACCGAGGGCTAACAATAGGACTAACAATAAGAACATAAGTAGAAGCAAAACAGAATTAAACCGGGCACAGGCAGGAAAAATCATTAATAAGGACACAAAGCATAAACAACACCAAACACTAAGGATAAACCAGGAATAAGAACCCAACAGGGCCAGCCTCAAACTCAAGCAGGGGAGCAGCTTGTGAGCCGCACACGCAACCCATAGAGCTGCACAGCAGCCCAAGGAACAGGGACTGAGGAGCTACAAAACAGAGAAGGGAGAAGCAGGATGACCAGTGACACCTGCTGACCAAAAGGGGACAAAACACATAGGACAGGGGCAGATGGGCACTCACCCTGACAACCAGGCAGACAAACATGTACTTCTTCTGCAGTTTTTTGAAACACAGTGAATGGATCAATTATAGCACCTACAAAGTGCAGAAAACATTCATTTTAAGGTCTCTGCGTGTGGGTGGAGTGGCGGTTCTGAGGATAAGGATCTGTGCCAGCAACTGGAAGGTTGCTGGTTCAATCCTGTGAATGCCAGGAGTGAAACCGCGTTCTGTTGGGCCCTTGAGCAAAGGTCACTAACCTGTAGTTGCTTCATCCCGGCTGTGATGTTAATCTACGTCTGACCCTGCAAGGAGGTCCTCCAACTTCTAGGACAGCTTGGAGCTGGGTGGCCAGATTGGCACTCCAGCCACTAGAAAAAACTCACACTGGTCCATTTGGACTAGTGTGGTGCTGAGGTATCATCTGCACTAGGTTCTCATCCCTGTGGTGGTTTGTCATGTGGTGGGTGTGGCAACGGTCTGTAATCAGCATGTGCTCCTTACCTCTGTCTATTATAAATATAAATAAATCCTGAACTTGATGAGTGTTAATCGTAGTTGTATGGATGATTAAATAAAAGCTAAAGGAAGAGACACTCACTGTGTGTAAGGAGGGAGCTGAGCCAGAAGGCAAAGCTTTCAATTTACCAGTCGATCTACGTTCTTACCCTCATCTATGGTCATGCGCTTTGAGTAATGACCGAAAAAGTGATATTCCGCATACAAGTGGCAGAAATGAGTTTCCTCTGCAGGGTCACTGGGCTCAGCCTTAGACACAGGGTGAGGAGCTCAGACATTCAGGAGGGGCTCTCGGCTGGCCTGGGAGCGCCTTGGCATTCCGTCGGAGGAGCTGGAGGAGGTGGCTGGTGAGGTGGAGGTCTGGGCTCCCTGCTCCGATTGCTACCCACATGACCTGGCCCTCGATAAGCGGTAGAAATTGGAGCTGATCCGGGGGTGGCTGACATGCAGTTAAAATTGCTGACCAAGGGGTCCTTCCCAGCAAATTTTACTGCGAATTACAGATTTCTGGGATATTCCATAACATTAGCAGAACTGCTGTCAATACACCAGGAAGTGGTGCGACGCCAGAATTATGAGTTCATTGGAAACATTTAGAAATTTAGTTCTGCCTGGAAAATGATTAAACTTTTGGTTAATAATATCACGTCATTTGGCGTCTCTTCTCCATTTCTATTATATCTAAAAAGAAATGTTACTTTCATTTAGAAATAATAGTGATAGGCGCCATTGGGCACTGAACCCATTTAGCCGTCTGCTTAAAATGTTACCCACAGCACTTCTGCAAGAAATGTTGAGAGTAACAACAAATGGCTGTTTATGAACCCGCCAAGGTCAATCAAATTGATGGGGTACATCAAGGATTTAACTGAATTAGGTAGCGTACCGAATTGGGGGAAAAGGAACTTCATTAAAGATGTGCATAAGTCAATGTTTGTTATTCCTCTTACAGTACATGCTCCAACTCAAAAAAAATGTTTTCCTTAAGGAATCTCCTAGTCTGGATTTTAATGTTAGGCAAGGACATTGAAGAGTATATCAAAGACGTATATTGAAGAAGACTGAACATCCATTCAGCCATAAGGAGAGGAGCCTGCCAGGGTCAGAGCTGTATTTAATTGCATGTCGAGTGTGGATGTTTAACAAGGCAAAGATGTACAATGTTTCTGAATACACTGAATGCATTGTCTTTGTCTAGAATGCCAGATTCTGCCTGTATGGCAAAAAAAGAAACAAAAACACAGCGGCGTTATTTTAAAAATGAATTTATTACCAATATTTCTTTTTCACAATCAAGTGCAAACGATAAAACAACCAAATAATTAGCATAGAGAGCTTTATAGAATTGACCCAAAAGTGAAATCAAATTAAACTTCAAAGGTGAAGCTTAACAAACAACTATTTCACTACGCTTTGCTAAATAATTCTCAATTCCCAGGTGAAACACTAAGAGGATCAGAGTGTCGGAGGTCATGTAAATTATTTATTAAAGTATATTCTGTAGTTGTTCAAATGCTACTAATGCCTCTAAAAGAGAGAATATGATGCAGAAGTCATCAGGGAGAAATGATATAATGTCTGTATAATGTCCTGCGTGTCACAATTAGGGTTAGGTAATTCAGGCCCAGAGAGTAAAAGTCCAGACCGGGATTTTACTTCAACCAACCAGTTAAGAACTCTGTGACTGTGACTCTTTATGCAAACTAGTTGGTTGAAACAAAATCCCGGTCTGGACTTTTACTCTCTGGATCTGAATTACCCAACTTTGGTCACAATGTGCATCTTCAAGGTGTCAGTGGTCACCTTTCAGCCCAGTGTAGCCGTCAGCCAAACACAACCACTGGTAGGACAGAGACGATCTGGACAATGGAACGGACTTGAGCATCAAAGCGTGCCAGCGAAGCAAACAAAGGAACTTCTGCCTACAGTTCTCGGGTCTACAGAAACAGCACACATACCTATTGCATAATGGCACCTCGTTTATGTCTAGAATCACGGCTATTTCTTATCATTTCAAAAGGGCACATCTGACTCCGACAGCAGAATATTTTAACCACAGAGAATGTTAATATAAATTGTATAACATATTACCTTTTTAAATTATATAGATCCACAATGGACACACGCAGTGATGCAGTGACTTATGTATCATCATCAGAAATGAGTCTTTCTCATATTAGAAAATTTTCTGCAATAAAAAAGCACCTAAACATTGTCATTACTTAAAAAAATAATTCATTACACGTTCTTCTCACATATATATTGCTAATGCAAACATTTTCTGCTAATTTCCTGAATTACAAAAATATATGTACTCAACAGACTGTGACATGGGTGGGACCCCTTTTACACAATGAATTTTAAGTGCATTGATTTGCATATAAATGTATATATATGTATCATCTGTGCTTATTTATTGGCAGACTGTGTTACAAGTATACTAAACCACTATCAAGACGTTTAATACCAATCAGTTTTTTTTGGGAGAGGTCCGTACTGCTGCAGTTTCAGTGAATGCCCAGCAGGGAGAGGTCTGAGTCTGAGCCAAATAGCTCTTTGTATAGGGGGGGGAAGAGGGAGTGCACAGTGAGGGGGTACAGCTGCCGAAACCAGCGTAACTTCTCAATATGCAGGCTGCACAATGATTTCAATACTGGCACTTTCAGGTAGAGCTGGAAATCAAGGAAGAGGACCAAGTTATTAGTTATCACAGATACAGCCCCAGTACCCCAGAACAGGCTATTTACATAAAAACAATGAATCGATACTCAGTGTTGGTCATTTCCGGTCCAGAAGTTCCAAATCCAGAGCAAGATATTGTTTCTGCCAACCAGTTGAGTACTTTGTGGTGGTAGCTGGTAGAAGCAAAATCCTGGTCTGGACTTCTATCTTCTGGACTGGATTGCAGATGTTGATAACATTTCACTTATAACTGCAGGCACAGAGTTGCAGCCTGGGAAGCTGGCAGCACTTATCCAGCCTTTTTCCGTCTGCACCTCATCTGTGCTGTTGTCCCATTACTCTTTTCTGTCGCCCTTAGCTTAACTTCCCCTGTACTCCTGGCTTACCTTGTGTAGTAGGCCCTCCTGGTTGTCTCTGCGCAGGGTGTGGCTAAGTGCTAGCTTCACCTCCCTCCTCATTCTCTCCACCCTGCCCCTCTCCTCCAGACCCGGACGTTCTAAGGCATACATGTGCACACAGATACACGGTGCGTGTAACAGCATTACAAACAGCCTGGGCAGTAAAATGATTCACAATTTTGCCATTTAATAGGTCATTTTAAAGATATACAAACATTTACATAACCGATAACTTAAATATCATTTAAATCATCAGGACGTCTGGCTTGCTCACTTTTATTCCTTACCTGCATTGATTAGTACCAGGGCACTGAAGAGCGCCACCTGCTGCTCATTCAGACGCAGAGCGCACAGGCTGTGAGCAAAGTCAAACACTGAGGACATCAGGTCGCTGCAGGCTGAGAGAGTGAGTCAGGAAAAGACTTAGTCATAGGGGATGTGCTTTTTCCCAAAACAGATGAGCACACAAGTTTTTTTATATATATTTTGCGGCGGTGAAGCATTTTCAATAACAGAGTTTGAGAGAAATGGGTGTGTGATCGGGCAGGTTGGCAGGTTCATTGGCAACACCAGCCACTTGACAAGACTAACAAGGTCTTCCTGTTCCTCACCGAGGGACTTGAAAAGCTCTGTGCTGGCGAACTTGCCATCAAAGAAGACCGTGCTGTTTTCCACGTTGAACATCCGGGTCATTCTCACCAGGACAATCTCCATGGAGCCTAAGCAGACAGATACACGACAGGGGGCAGTAAGAAGATGTATTTTTTTTAACGGCCAGCGGATGTTCGATGGCGGACGAGGACAGTGCACCGGTCTCACCGCTCTTGAGCAGAACTATCTGGTCGTTCTGACACAGCTGCCGGAAGCCCGGGATGCGTTTGGCAAACTCCACTACGTACTGGACAGCGTCTGTCAGCCTGAGGGCACAGTGCTGCCACATTTCATCCACAGACTGGGGGGGAAAGATTACAGAATGGGGGGGGGGGGGTCACCACTGGTCAGCACCACCACTCACACACCCCGTTCATGGACATTGTGGAATCAATAGTCTTCTTTAAAATAATAAAACAGAGACACTTTCGTCATACCAGTAGGGAAATTCTCTTTTTTGCCTACCCCATCTTGCACTCCATGGCAACACACAGACGCACAAACAAGTAAGAGCAAGCTTGGATGTCACAGTTTAGGGTTAGCCAGTGTGCAGTGGGCAATCAATCAGGGGCCCAAGCGTGGCGTCAAAACTGCCAATCCTGAGATTCAAACCTGTGGCCTTTAGATCACAGGCACAGAGTCCCGACACAAAGAGCCACACACCACAACCCGCTCAGTTCAAAGGTAATACTAAGCTGTTGATGGTTTATCATTAATCAGACTACATGCTTTGACTTTAAATGGGTTAGTGGTCTAACAGAAATCTTTTAAGGTGATTTGTTAGTATTTCCCCCATCATAGGATTCAGTTGGGCTAACTTCTTCTTTCGTATTTTCTTTAGCCGCTTCTCAACTGCAGGATTTTTTTATTCTGGAACCAGAACTTTTTTTCAAGAACCAGGAACCTCGGTCTGACTGTAGTTCCTCGGTGGCAGTTTCGGACCCCTTTTGTAGTTCCTGTCACTACAGGATCTGAGTCAACCGTCGACGTGAGTCACACATGCGCCAGCGTTGAAAGCTAAATACAAAAGCTAACTAAGAAATAACAAACTGAAAACCAACTTAAAAGCAAGCCAAATACAAAAATGTATATGTGTGGTTCCTGTGAGAGGCTTTGCCAGTGTTAATACAGAAAATTAAAGGTAATCAGGCATTTTGTGAAAATTTATGCCACTATCGCCACAGCACCTTGCTCTGGTAGGCGAGAATCTCCTCCCTGGTGAAGAATTTCCATCGCAAAGCTTGCAGCTCCTCCAACCGATACTGACTGGTCTCCCTGTGAGATTGCAGGATGCTGGCGCAGAACTCCTCTGCAAGGCATCAATGGAATGCATGAGCAGACGACTGCCACAAACTCGATGCGTGTACGGCACACCATTCCAGAAGTACTCTGCCAAAAGCACCTTCCTTTGAGAAATGCGAGGTGACAGACGTGCTTCGGCACTCTCACCTATGTGCAGCATGGAGCTGGGGTAGCAGAAGGAGTCCTCTGGCTCATAATTCACCCTCATGTCCCCCCGGGACATCCCCAAGCCCAACTGCTGGGGAGACGACTGGCGGGAGTCAAATCTCGGGTACCTCTCTGCTGCTGGAGCACAACAGAGCAAAAGTCCTTTGGTCAGGGATAAATGTAACACGGAGCACTGGAACAGACTGCCCAGGAGGATCTAGGCAGAGGGAAATCAGGAGGCTGCCTAGAGCCTGATTAGCAGAAGGTGGCACAAATCTACTGAGGGAGACCATCAGAAATGAGTCTCCCTCAATCGGCAAAATCTACCAAGGAAACCCCCCCCATCGGTGAAATCTATTGGGGGGACAGGGCTGCTTAGGGCCCCTGAAAAGACAGAACCGGCTCTGGGCGGGACCCACCTCTCCCCTCGGACTGGCCACCGCTGTCTCTCCGGCACTGAGAGCTGGACACCGGAGATGCGCACGGCCCCCTGAAGGCCAAGGCCGCAGCCTGGGACTCTCCTTGGGAGCAGTCTAGGTAGGCGTGCACTTCTGGGGAGGTGGAAGGCAGCTCAGGCTCCACGTGAAAGGGGTAGGACGGCACCAGGGGCTGGAGCAGGTGGGGCGAGTGGTTGCGCGGCTCCTTGCTGTGGTAGGGCAGTGGGGGGGGCGCCTCGCCAGGGCTGCTCTGAAGGCGTTGCTGCTGCTGCCGGTGTCTCTCCACCTCGGCGATCAGGGAGTCCCTCTGTCGCTTCGACATGCGGCCGAACTTCACCGCTGCAAGCAGGGGGCAGCACAGAGCTCACGAATGGGGAAGGTATTATATTTCTGCGGTTCCTGTATCTCAAAAAGCAGATCATCATGCTAACAATGTAAAGGATGTGGGTTCAAATCCCACAGATCGCACACTGATTGTATCCCTTCCCTCTACTGTAAATCGCTTTGGGTAAAAGCATCTGATAAATGCTAAAATGCACCAGCTTCTCAGCCTCACATGCCCGTCACCCTCCGGGCCCCGTTCCTCACCATCTCTGCTCATCCCCTGAGCCACGCATTTCTGCAGCCGGCAGCTCTGGCAGCGGTTGCGGCTGGAGCGGTCTATGTGGCAGTTGCTTTGGCGTGAGCAGGAGTAGGACACACTGGACTGCTGGCTGCGCCGGAAGAAGCCCTGACAGAAAGAGGTGCGTGTTTGTGTACTAGCAGAGTTTGCTTGTGTGTGTGGGGCTGCAATGGCTGCAAAGGGGACTGAATTGCAGCTGGTTCTTGGGGGCGGTTCCTCTCACCTTACAGCCTTCACAGGTGATGACACCATAATGTACTCCGGATGACTTGTCGCCACAGATCTTACAGGGAATCACCTCGATTTGAGCTGCGCACACAAACACAGGTTTCACATTTAATTTAACCAAAAATAAACATAATAACCCGTGCGCAAATTTGAACACTGCAGTTCAATAACTTTGCCTTTTTCATACTTGTTATATCCATGACTATTGTTCTTCTCATTGTGCGGTCTGGCTGCAGTTTACTAATCGGCCAGCAGAGGGAGATGTACAATCCCGACCCCCCACCCCACCCAGCCACAGCAGAGACGTAGTTACCGTTTGTCTCGCGCTTCTCCAGAACAAGAGGAAAACCGGTTTGATAAATGTATCTTAAAAGCCAGGTTAAACAAAACAGTCCAACAAAATATAAACTATGTAAACTATATATGCCAATATTTCTATTAAATAACGACCCACTTATACACTATAAACACATTTTCCAGCGTTAATCCTTCAAAGTCACCATTATCGGGGAAAGAGTTTGAGATGTAGATTTAAGAAAAAGAAGTTAGACGGGTGGAAACGGGTGAGAAAATGGTGGTACAATAGGTAAAATTGAGATTCAGAAAGAAGGGCGTGCATTGGGTATAAATGGCTGAACTGGTATATGTGTTTGTTTCATAACAATACCCAGCCCACTACATACATGCTAATATTATATAATATATTATATAGAAACATATCTGATAATTACACTACGAAGACACTCGATATAAATGTTTAAATCTTTTTTGTCTTCATCTGTGTTAGAGTCATGTCAATATTTTCCATTTTTCAAAAGTGCCTTTCAAAGATTGTATGCAAGAAAAGGAAAATGTCGAAGAGCAAATGAGAGATGACATTTTTTGAAGAACAAAGTACTCCGGACAGTTGACGAGATAGATAATATGAAATACAGACGAAGGGAAAAGGAGAGAGGGGATATTTGAGAATGGAGAAAAAGGAGAGGATGAGAAGGTGTAAACCTCAGTGCCTTTTCAAGTGGTTTACTGGCGAATCTTTCATTCTGACTATCGTACTTTTATGCCACTTTTGTCTTTCAGTCCCGCTCTCTTTCTCACTCATAAAGGACAGAACTGCCAGTAATACAGCCTTTCATCTCTCCTTCAGCTGCCAGGAATCCCCGTAGATCTCCCCCCCACCCCCCTCGCCGCACCTCCCCCACTTTATGTTGTTAAATTGATGTCCGTGTGCAAGTTATTATCACACAATAAATACTACTGATCAAAGCCAGGGTGACCCAAGAATTAAGTGTAGGCAACATTTATGCATAAACATATCCTCGACTTTTCTTATCACACATGTACAGGGTTCGTCAACATGTCCGTATATGGACAAACGTGTCCGTGGCACGACTTGTCTGTGTCCGTGGGAAAAAAAAAACAATGTAGGCTGCTTTTCTAAACATCATGTCCGTGGTTAAAAAAAAAAAAAAACCTGCAGTTAGAGCACGGTGTCCGTCCGGTGACACAGGGCTACCTTTTTATACCTCTAATACACTGACCCGCCAAAAAAAAAATGCACCATTTGAATTTTTAGTTGGACTGCCTTTAGCTTTTTTATGGTGAAAATGATTCCTTGTGCTCCTGAACCATTCTTTCACAATTTAAACAAGATGAACCTAGGCATCATCATCCTGGAATATGTCCATACCTAGGCAAGAAAAAAATCTATGGATGATGGATGGAGGTGTAACCTGGCCATCCAATAAATTCAGGTACTCAGCTAACTTCACTTTACTGCTGTATAACGTCGCAGAGCTGTAACAATGATCCAGTCATTGGTGCTTAAGTATTTGCTGATTTAAATTCAAATGGTGACTATTTTGGCTGTGCAGAGTATATAGTAGAAATCAGGCATCATCGGGTACGATACACGCGAGTCGCGATACACAGTTCGCCCTTCCCTGAGTGGTTCAAACCCTTCAGACTAAGGAAGCAATCCTGAGTTGTCGCCATTAAAGTGAAAATGGTGCAAAGCCACAAACACATTTGAGGATGTTCAATGCTGCACCAGAGAGCCCCCCCCCTGATTTGGAGCCATGCCACCCCCACAGAGAGGCCCCCCTAAGGAGTCTGGCTGCCAACAGCGGGTGGTGTGTCCGTCTGCGGTGAACATGAATTAGGCAAAATCACCATATGAACGATGAGCTGTGAGTGTATGAAAACAAGTGTGCATTAAAAGCTGGTACTATTAATTCTGTTGCTACTATGATAGAAGCACTGCATGCAGTGGACTGATGGGTAGAACTGTTGCTTTAACCCTCCAGGAGACGTGATTTGAGTCTCACTGCTGCTTTGTTTATATCCCCCTGTGTTTTGTATTTTATCTCCAGTGGCCTGTACTACGAAGCAGGGTTACTGGCTTATCGGGGTAACTTGTCGGATTTAAGGTACCACAGTTTAAATGGACTTCGTATTCTTTCACTTACATTTTGCCCAGACTACCTTAAATCCGACAAGTTACCCCGATAAGCCAGTAAACCCGCTTCGTAGTACAGGCCACTGGTATTTCTCCTGCAGTCCAAAGACATGCAGTTACACTAACTGGTGGCTACAGATTCTCTTCAAGTGTGTGTGTGCATTTATGTGCTGTTCAGAGCTATACCCTTTCAGGGGCCCGAAGGAGTGGAAGGCCCCTTACCAGGAAATCTGATGATCATTTCACTTCCTCCAGAGCGCAGGTGATTCAGGGGCTGCCTACAGCCAGAGCCGGCCCTGGGGCCAGCATACTGACTTTATTGTCATTGTACATGCAGAGGGACGCTCTGTAAGTGCCCAGGATACACCTGTGCTCTGTGCTGACTGGGAATTGGCCCCAGGGGGCCTGACAGGCCGGGATAAGTGCTGGAAGATGAATAGTGACAACATTTACTGCAACACAGCTCCTATTACTTTGTTTACTGAAATGGCATTTAATGAAATGTTAATCGCCAACCTCAGCACATCAATCCTCAGGCCCGCAGTTGGCATTATTATTATTATTATTATTATTATTATTATTACAGACGCTCCTCTACTTACGAATGAGATACGTTCCGAACGGCTGTTTGTAACTTGAAATGTTCGTAAGTCGTTATTCAACATCATTTTAATGGTATACGCAAGTACTACGAACTAGGATGCTGGGAGTTTGCAGGCTACGCTGCTGCACGGCGGGAGCAGTGGCCAGAAGCCGTACTAGGCGGAATTGGCGCACAGAAAAAAAAAATCAATACTACTACTCCTACTACTAATAATAATAACAACAACAGTCTTACTGCTTCTGCAGCCCTGTTGAGCTGCTTTTAATTGCACTTACTGTATCATATGCGGGGCATAGCTAGAAATCCTTTCAGTCCGAAGAAATACAGGCCTTCCAAAGTGCCGAGCATATAAATGATCTTTTTTCATATTGAGGGGCCCTATAAAGTGCTGGATCTCCTGAATCTGTCAGAGTATCCCTGCCCTTCCAGCACCCTTGATCATACTTTATAAATAACAGGAACTGTGGATCTGCGATATAGCTGTGAGTGCTGTTTCTTTTTTTGGGAGTTTGTGTGATGTGTTTTGTGTGTCAGTGTGTCAGTGTGTGTATGTCACCGTGTCAGTTTGAATGGCCTAATTCTGGGTACCTCGAAGGAACTTCTGAAAAGCAATACAAGATATATAGCAGCTTGCGGTGAATATGTGTTACATATAGCTCTATTAATTTAAGGAGCTAAAGATTTGGACACAGTCTATTCTGTGTGGATGTTTTGGGTATTTGAATGGCAAATTTGTGATTCAGGAAACATTGAGTCAGTAATAACGTTTGTGTCTGTGGGAGGGGTGGACTGGAGGGGGAAGCTGACAGCGTCGTATGAATGGCCAAGGACTGAGCTTTGCGTGTTTGCATGCGAGCCGTCAGAAGTCAGGCCGAGGCGGCATGTGCATACAAAGTGAAAGGTTGCGGGTCGCGTTGGTTTCCTGTTGTTTTGTGGGTGAGAATCAGAACTACTAGTGCTGGAAGTAGAGACCACTGCAACTCCCAGTGCCTGTGTGCTGCTGGGGAAGGCATTTGGTGGTGAGGCCAACCGCAGCAAGCAGGGATAACAGCCCGAGTACGCAGGACAGGTCATGGGAAGCAAGGGTAACACATACATGTTATACGTTACGCCTAATATGGCACCTGCAGTACCACATGTATAGAATTAACAACACAAAGGTTGTGGGTTCAAATCCCAGGGAGCACACATAAATTATACCCCCCCCCCCTACTGGAAGTCCCTACAGATGAAAGCATCAGATAAATGCAAATATATGTTCCCATCTCATTTGCTTCCTGAGGTCATCGCGGAAAACTCCGGCTGACCAACAGTTGTCTGAGTCGGCACCTCCCTGTCCTACGTGTTTTGTGCTTGTTTGGCCAGCAGGTGTTGCTGGTGATCCTGTTCCCTCCTCTGTAGCCCTCAGCTCTAGTGTGTCTCCTTATTTCCCACACTGCCATGTAACTCAATGGGTTGAAGGTGTGCTCTCAGAAGCTGTACCCTCTGGTCACAGGTTCAAGGCTGGCCAGAGGACATCCTCACCTGTTATTTAATATTTAAAATTTTTCTGTTTCCTAGGGTCTGATATTATCTTTGTGTTCCTGTTTTAGATTAATCCTGCTTGTGCCCTGTTTCATTATGTTCCGTGTGTACTTTTGAATACTAGTCTGTCCAAGTGTTGTTAGCCTTTAGTGTTTATTAATGTCTCCCAGTTCCAGTGCTTGTTAACTGTAATTCACCCCACCTGTTCCTTGTTGACCTGAGTCCTTCTGATTGGTTAATTTGATTATGATTTACACCTGTGCCTTGTTTGGCCGGTGTGTATAAGTGCTTGCCCTCAAACCATTTGTTAGTCAGTCATTGTGCACTTGTTACTGCATGACGATAGCCCGTTATCCGATAGCCCGTTATCCGATAGCCCGTTATCCGATAGCCCGTTATCCGATAGCCCGTTATCCGATAGCCCGTTATCCGATAGCCCGTTATCCGAGTTCTGTTGCCTGATTCCCTAAGTATGTAAGTTTATGGTTCTCTTTA